GTGAATCAAAATGTTCCTCGAGTCGTGGCTTTCGAGGTCATAATTTGCATCCTCAAGTAACGGGCTTCGAGCACGCTTTTAAATATATCTTTTTTCCCTTTCGATGAATTTTTTTAACTTGTCTAATTTAAAGGGTATAATTTGTTGCCCAAAATTATGAAAAAGACCAAAGAAAAACGAAAAAAAAGGACTATTATGCTAAAGACCATCCGACCTCTTTACCTAGTCCGTTTATTGCAAACAATACAGTGTTCTCGGAATGCACGCGCGCCTATTCGCCTGATAATGTGATTTCTATGCGTAGTACAGGACGCGCAGTGCAATACTGAAGAATCGCCTCATAGTATTATGGGACAAAGAATTCCTCGGGTAGGAATGCACTATGGTTTGTTCGAGGTGTGGCCGTCATTTCTTTCAAGATCCACTTTAGGGAAATACACTGCTGTTATCTGGAGGAAAATATCTTAAAATACTTGATATTATAAACCAAACCCAACCAGTGCAGATATCACTCACGAGGCGAGTCAACAGCAATGATTTTTTTCTTAGGTCGAACTAAAGCCGTACTGTCTCTGTCGAGCGAATAAATGCGTCTCTGACTCTGTATTTCGCGCTACAACTTCTCCAGGTATTATCTTTTCCATTCACGGTCACCTGACAGTATGCCCCTCTATTCTCCGCCTCTTTATATTTTCTGCGGGAAATAAAATGAAAAGAAGATAATCTAAACAATTCTGAAGAGTTTTTTTTCATTTTAAGAAAGCAAAAGAATTAGTGAAATTGACATAAAGAGCCATGTTTGAGCAATTTTCCACTAAACAAGTCGCGATTTCGTTTTGGTTCGCTGATTGGTTGAGAGAGTCGCGCGAGTTTTCTGGACCAATCACTGAGTGTAGAAAGAAAACCAATCCAATCCTAAGGAGCCGCCACAAAAAAAACTGACCGAAGCGCGGGAAACGCCATTGACCAAGACTCGTTTGGTTTCAGTTTTGCATCTGATTGGCTGAGAGAGTGGCACGAGTTTTCTTAGACCAACCACAGAAATTGCTCTAATTTACTGAAATCGCGAGAAGAGATTAGATGTTAAAATTAGTCACTTCTATCTGCGAAGACGTGATTCTTTTTCCCAAGACTGAGTGGGATGAAAGGCCGGTGTGAATACGTACCTGGTTGATTCGGGAAACACGAGCTGCGAGTGTTGTTTTGGTCTGGTCGGAAAGGTTTGGTGCACGCGAAGTTTTCATTGATCGGGGTGTTGCTGTTGTTATTTTTCCGTTTTTAGACATAGAAATATAAAAAATTAAATTTGAGAATTAAACAAAGCATATTGAATACAGGCAGCAAGATAAAAAGAATCTTATGTGTGAAAAAGACAAAAATGCAAACATGTGCTGACATGATCTAAATGGTTGCAAATAAAAACCCGATTTTTTCTCAACAGGATAAAAATATATTTTTTATTAAGGACAAGTAAAGTAACCATAGCAACACTTCAGAAACAGCCTAAAATTTGGCTTTAAGTGTCTGTTTCAAAACATGAATTCAGTGACCTCCAATCAGCATAAACCATTTATCTTGCTCTAAAGTTAAAAAAAAAACGACCCACAGTTCAAAGCCACCTTCAATTATCTTAACAATCATGTTGTTTCAGCTTACTGGTTAGTATCAAATTCCTTTCAAGTTTGTAGACTCAAGTATTGGTTAAAACCTTAGTGCTTGGCATTTTCAACAAACCCTGATTATCAAACTGTGGCTTTTACTTTATTGCAGGTCAGTTTTTTTCCAAATTGGAGTTAACACATAATTCAAAATTCATATAATTGTATTACTATTCAAGTCATACCTGGAAGCTTTCACATCATGTGGGTGAACAGATCTGCTTTCAGGTTTAGAGCCCTCTGAGGGTCTCATTAGTAATTCCTCACTACAAGACATGAGTGCCTCATCAAAACCAAAAGATTGATTCCAAAGAAGAGGGTCATCTGAAGAAGAACCATTCTTATCATGCAGATGTCATAAGATCAAGAATCAGTTTACTGCTATAGATAAAACACCACTTTTAAAAGCTGAACCCCACTTTTAAAAATTTAAAACCTCTCAGGAAATATTTAAGGTTACCTTCTGGAACGACACTGTAGTTCTCCACCTTTGGCTCAGTTTCATGTGCCCTAATCTCTATGGGTGTGGTCACAAAAGAGGTCCTGCTTTTTGTAACTGTTCCCAATGCAGGGGTAGAAGCTGCTCCAGGGGTCTTGAATGGTGGAGGACAGTGTGATGCTTTTTCAGATTTATTCCACTCTCCTGTTGGTGTCCTTGGTTTGTTTAATACTCTCAAATTATCAGCTTTTGTTGCTGACCTTGTCTGCATTTCTGAAGATTGCCCTTTAGAGAAATTGCATTGAACATTGTTTCCCGCAGAACCAACATAAACTTGTTCAGTGTTAACATGACTACCATCTGAAATAAAAGATAATATAATGTGAATAAGGACACAGTACATAAAAACTTTCAAAAATTACCATCAGGTTGATACTTCAGTGAATAATTAGTAGGAAAGTATTTGCAAATACACCTGCAGGAGGGAAGTTTTCCTTCATCATCTCAGATGAATTCTGGTCTTCCTTGGTTTTTCTCACAACTGTCTTCCCAGGTCTCCTCATAAGATTTACATCATACTGAATAGTACCCTAAAAAATTAAAACTTCAGCTTTTCTATTGTACAAAAAGTTGGACGTTAAATTGACATCAATTAATTTAATTAGCAATTTAATGAACTCATTAAATAAATAATAATTGCAAGCTATGAACCAAATTGTTTTTTTGCATATAAATGCAAAACAAATTATATAAAGAGTGTGTGAGTAATGGAGCTTAAAATAAAGAATGTTTGATAAATATCATTCTAAGCTAATAAGTATTCAAATTGATTTTTAAAGATCACCCTCTTGCATCATTGTCTTACACTATAGTTGGATTTCTGCTTCCAGGAAGGCTACTGATACTTACTGATTTTGGTTGTTTGGTAATGAATTTTAAGTAGTCCTTGTCACTAATGCAGTTGCCAAGTGATTCTCCAAAACTCCTACATGAGGAAACATTCAGGTAGAGAAATCAATGAAGCTTTGGATTAACTCCCATACTTAATACAGAGCACATTTATCCATAATTAGCAATTCTGGATAAGGTTGAGCAAAGTAAGGCCATTTGCCAGTGGTGAGCAGATCAATTGATCAGATTGACCTGTGAGAAGGTGGCAATTCATGATAATTATAATTACCTACTTGTTATTTGACTGCAGAAAAAATATGGCTAGATAGTAATGCATATTAGCCTTGGAGCAAGCCCTTGTCATTTGGGCTGAAGGACACTCATTTCTTCACCCGCAGGAAGATTTGAGAAGAGTTAATGAGAGGTTTGCTGCAGGTCTGGATCAGTCCCAGACCCTTTACAGACCTCTTGCTGGCTCATATTACTCACCAAGCCTCATACTTTCCCACAGGCAAAGAAATGCTTTTGCTGAAATGATAAGGAAGGCCTGCTTGCAAGCTATGTGTTTATAAGTAGTTATATTTGGGTCAGATGGAGGACGCTAGGCCAATAAATGGAATAAATAGGTTTCATTGTTATACAACCATAAATCAATAAAAAGATTATTTCTTTAATCATAGAAATCAGCTTACTTGAGAGCTCTTTTCAGCCCATCTGTGACAGCTTCTTTTCTTGCTTTTTCGAGAGACAGAGCTTTGGATTTCATTCCTTCTGAGACTCCATAACCAATGTCTTCATGGTACACACCATCCTGTAAAATATCACCTAACATTTTAAATTTTTCCCTATTACACGCTGAACACTGTTGCTCAAACTTATGAAGCTCATAGTTGGAAGATAAAATTCTGCAACTTGTTAATAACTTTTTAAACATGGATTTAAAGCATCCTCAAGCTTAAATTACTAATCAACAATGGCTGGCCTGAGGTTTGATCCCTTTTAAAATAAAAAGGGTACAAGAAATTTTTTTCCTGTCTTACCCTTGCGAAAAAGTGTATTATTGATAGTGTTAAATACTCCTTTCAATGTCAAAATGTCACCACCGACTGTCGGCCGACGCGTTGACGAACGCTTCGGCCAACGTGTTGTCAGGATCGGATTTGTTACCTTGCCCCTTAAATTGACACTATCTCTCACCTTTAATTGGACTTTCACGAAAGCACTAACTCCAACATAGTATTTGTTTGCCACCTGATCTACAAAATCTGAAAAACCAACATGCCAGTTGTGTTATTAGTGACATGATAAAAAAGTATTTTTGTCGATCATTATTTTGTAAACGAACATTTGAAAGAACACAGGTGAATTTCCCTTACCTATGTTCTGATGAGTTACTGAATGTGACCAACCATTGAAACCAAAGGTTTCATTTGCTAAATTGATGAGTTTCCATCCTTCTACATAAGCGAGCTGAGGAATGACATGCATACGTAATTACGAATCAGGAACGTTAAATATGCTTTCTCTGACATTGCTGATTCTAATTTGTTTTGTAACAAAAATACCTTTTGCCCGCCGGCCCCTGCTCTTTGGCTGATGTACTCTGGGCCAAGCTTCTGGTTTAATGCACTCTGAATCGCATCGCGCTCTTCAGATGTAAAATTTACCTGAGAATCAAGAGTTGGAGGAAATTTTACGAAATATTTTCAAAGTTAACCTGATAACTTCATAGGCCTTTTTGAGACTCACGCTTCCAAATAAGGGCCCAGGTGTTCTATTATTGTTACACATCGCGTAAATTTGCCCTCCAGTACAATTTTAACAAACAAATCAATATTCTTCCCAAGCGAAAAGTGAATTTTTTTTGCATGGAGGGATAGAGGATATTTTGAAAATTGTCAACATTGACTGCTCAGCCAATCGCAACGTAGCAAAAGCAAAGTCTTGTGGGATATCTAGATACTTCTTGTCATAAACCAATAAATTGCAGATATATCATCCGGGTTATTTTATCCGAAAAATGGCGTCCAATTCGAAGAATCACTATTTGTCTGCGATCTTGTGATGAGAATTACACCTTAAGAAACTCCGCGATCTTGACATTGCAGGCAACAACGTTGTCTTGGCTGTGCATTTTACATTAAGATCAAAAACAGAGCTGGATTGCAAATAACAGTTAGCGCTTAATTCGCTTGAAACAAAGAAAGATCAATCCCCAATGGCTGCGAAAAGAGAGGAAACTACTTCAGGTATTAAGTCTCCTTTGTTCATAGCCTAATAGGAATCCGAGGTTTGCTTTCGAATGGCAGTTATTTTATTTTCATTTTCATTCTTGAGACATGTTGTTTTAACCCATCATTTTGACGAGTGCTCAGCATATTTATTGAAGACCAACATACACATTATTGCATGGTATGCAAGCTTTACCAGTCTCAGCTTAGAATAATTTTAGAAATTACCAGATATTCATTTCACAGGTGAGCCCAAATGCAGCTTCACGCTTATTTTCATCTCGAAGAGATACAAAAAGCCACAACTGAGAAGAAGAGATTTAATACCTCAAAATAACGAACATGAGATTGTGATGCTGAGACTTATTTTATCTATATTTTTATAGGTTATTATTATTTGTTTGGATTATGAGAATGAAGACAGTTAAATGGAATTGAAATTAAATCTCTTTGACACCTTTGAGCTAGTAAAAATTTGAAGCACTACACATACTTGTAGGTGTTAAAAGTGCCCGGGTCAGACTTGACGTGTTGCTGAAAGATCTCATAAAGAAAACAGAGGAAAGGTGAATTATTTTTACTAGTTCTTTTACTAGAATGCCTGCCAATTATGGTGAAGTTAAGCAATTTGAAAGGAAGTATAGAATCAATGTCTAAGACATTACAGAATACAGCACCATTTTTAACCATCCACCAAATGAGCAGATTTGTTTGGTTTTTTATTCATTATTCCTCTTTTTTTCATCCACTGCCAAGCAAAAGGAGCCACTAGAAATATGCTCCTTCAAAAGTGGCCTTGTATTGTGTAGTTGTTCCAGATCAATAATTACAAGTTGAGAATGAGAGTCACTTTTGCAAAGGAAAACTACAGTGATGCAAATACACATGAAGTTTGCAATATTAAGTTTGTTGTTTTAATGGTTTACAGTGGTGAGGGTGAAACAAGCTCTACACCAGGAAGGTAAAAATATCTATGTACAGTATCCTATTACATTTGAGTATAGCCATGTAAATTAATGTTTTTTTTGTTTGTTTGTTTTTCTGTTTTTGGTGTCTGTTATTATTTTGTTTTCTGGTTGATTGAATAAATCACTGTCCACTCTCAAATATTGATTAAAATACAGGAAATGGTTTGAACCCAGGGATAAGAGTTGATTGGATAGTCTTATGATTCATTTAACAATATTCTTGAGAAGGACTGTTATTGGTACATTTGAACCTCAATTATCCAGACTCATAAATCACAGGAATTGCTAATTAAACAAAAAATTGGGAAAAAGTTGTTTTTTCTTTGTTGTTTAAACAATTGTTGTTTGCTCAAATTTACATGTTGGTTTGATATACATGTATTACTCTGTGTGTGTAACTGTCAGAGAGTGCAGAATAAATTTTCTGAGTGGTACAACAGTGTAAAAATCAACAAAACTGACCAATCATGACCAACTTACACCACTTGAGTCTTATAATCATCAACATCACAACTTGACTGGGTAATCAGAATACATATACCAAACATATAACAACTCCTTGCTTAAATCTGATGATGACTTTCACTCAGGTTGTTGACACATCAGTCACCATTACCAATGACAGTCTTGCTCAGGGCTACCCTCACTTGAACAATCTGACTTCACAATCAGTTGATCAAAATATTATTAACTAAAATTAAATTAATTTTCTTTACAGTTCTGCAGCTTTTCAAATGCCACCACCCTCAACACCAACCAAGAGGTTTGAATGAATTGTTGTTGTTAGCAGTTGGACACAGTTACATTAATTTTATGAGTTTTTTTAGGAGCCCTTAAGACCACCTTTAAATGACCCAAGACCCTGTCATAAAATGATAATAATTATTATTTTGTTATTATTATCATCATTACCATTAATTAATATATTTCATGTTTTTAGATGTGCATATTTTTCCTCTCTGTACAACTGTTTATACCTGAGTGATGTGTATTGCCAGTGCTGTTATTCAATTTTTTCTTTCCTTGTTTCATGTTATGCAACGCTTGCTCCAAATAAAGAAGTGGTTCAGGTAAACATCTTTTTTTATATTCAGATATTTAATGGCTGCTTGGGAAGTATTTGTCTATTCACAAAGGTTTATAAAGTTCTCAGTTAGTTTCTGGGTGCAGAATGACTTCTTAATGAGTTGTTCTGTAAACATCTGAACATGTCTTCCATCTTCTGTTATAGGAAAAACACCAAGGAAAAGACGCAAAAAAGATGTGGGGTATGATGGTAAGTATAGCAAAAATGGCATTTTTGTGAAATGATTTAGTTGTGACAAATTCATGGCAAATTTTTTGTATTTATAGATTATATTGCTATGATGTTACCGTAGTTTGTCATATTTTGTTGAGGGGCCTGAGATTTTAGGTAACTTTACATACAAATTATTTTCCCTCATTTCTGTTAAGTGTGATCACAAATATTTTCAATTTGTCTTCCTTTGCAGATGCAGATGGAAGTAGTCAGAACCGTATGTACTTTTTTTCAAGAAATATTGCTATTATCATTGATTTTGTGTCATGCTTAATGGTTTTCTTTACCCAATGAATTTAATAATTTTATGATTGGCTTCCTTGAAAAATGTTTGATTCTGCTTTCTATTTGTTTGTTTTTGGTCTTGATCATGACTTTTGGTGGATATACTTGTCACCTTAGCAAGGTAAGATTTATCTGAGTGCCTTTGCACAAAGATTAGCTTAGTACAATGCTTTACTAAATTGAAATGTGTTTCAGTGACTGTGCTACTTACAGTTTTGGATCAAATCTATCTAACTTTTCCCTTTAACCCTTATGTAACCTTCTAGGATCTTCAATGGTTTTACCGAGTTTGACAGTTATCAAATGTCAGTGTCAGTTAGATACTAGGTATTTGCAATTAAGTCATTTCATTAAATCTTCAGGGTGTTTATAGGGCAAAAGACGGTGTATAATACCTCTCCTTCAAACCAATTTCTTTGGTTAAATTTTGATGACCTGCAATGCTTATTATTCAGAAAGCATAAATGTATTTTCTTGTTACTTCACACTGTTTTTCAGCGGCTGCTTTAAATTTTCAAAGGAGAATCCAAAATCTCTGCTCTGCTTTTGAGGTTACTGTTGTAATACTTTGGAATGTTTTGTTCCCCCTTGGCTTTTTACCTTTGTAGCTTTGTCATGAAGCTGTTTGATCGCAGTGTGGATTTTGCCCAATTCAATGAAGACACAACCTTGTATGCCCTGGCTAGAGCCTGGATGCAGAACAAGCCTTATGGAACCAAGCCATCTGATTCTCAAGAGGGCAACCAAGATGGTGAATCTCCAACAAGCAGCCAGGAGAGTGTCATGTCTTCTTTGTCCCATAGTGTAAGTAGAAAAAAAAAAAGATGAAAAAGCACTGCTACTCTGCTTTCTCAAGTTTTAACTGCTGTGTATTCCATTACACAGATGTAAATCTCTGACTGTTTTGAATTTCTTCTTACAGAATGGTGACAGTGATCCTAAGAATGTTTACAGGTAACTAAGAAAGAAAATGCTTGTAGCTAGTCTCAGATCAGATAATGATTAGGGCAAATCCCTCACCAAACATTCATTATATTAGAAACCCATAAGGCCAAACTCAGGTATGAGGGCTTTTTGTTTTATGAGGGTGTTTGCTATGTTATATTAATCTCTTTTCTCCCTATAAAGTTTTCCAGATCCAGTGAAATCAATTGAAGACTTTAAGATGAACAGTACTCTTTCAAAAGGAACACTTTCACTAGATATTCATTATGTAAGTAGATATTTTATGTCTTAGAATTCCTAACTTGTGTAGCTGGCCTTAAAATTTTTATGGAAAAAAGTCCAATTGCAGGCCTTAAACTTTTTTTTAAAAATAAACTCCAATTGCTCTGACAAAGGGCTAACACTTGAAACATCAGCTTTTTTACCCTTTACGGTGGCCAATTATGTTTTCAACTCAGTTGTTAACACTAAATTACATCTGCTATACTCTCTCACCAACGCAGCACCACGGTTTCTTTAGAAACTTACCCCCCTTAAACTTTCTATTTTGCTCTCTGTTACAGAGAAAGGTAAAGCTAAACCAAAACCATCTTTTATTGCTTGATTTTTGCGAGTTAATTAGCAATCTTTAACCAATAATCTTCTAGGATATTGATAAAGCTCCACCAGTGAGTGATCTTAAAAGAAATCACATGGACAGGTGGAAGAAAGTCAAATCCAAGTGAGTAATTAATGTCAACTTTGTTCACAAGAAATCATCCATGGCCCCTTAGCTTCCAACTGGGTCTTGGGCCTCAGTGCAGTTTTAACCCTTTAACTCCCAAAATCTCATGAGTAATTCTCCCTACTGTCTGCCATACAGTTCTTGTGATGTTAGCTTGGAGAATTTGGTATTGGATCAACTAATAATCCCCTAATTATTAATATTTTTCTTTATTCTCATCACTTGTCTGCTTGATATTGTACTGATATTGTAAGGAGAAATTCTGTCTTGGTCAGTCATGAGAGTTAAAGGGTTAAACTTGTCTATTCTGGGATCACTGTACATTAATCAGCTAATTTTTTATGTATTTATCTCAAGGGTATATCTTTGTATGAATGATTTTTCTAAGATTTTTGGACTTGTGTTAATTTTTTTGTCTGTGATCAAGGATTTTGAAAATGTAAGCTTTAATTTCTATTTTGCTATTTCTGTTGCAGTTGGAAAGATAGCTCGTTTAAAAGACAAGCCTGCTATGCACCAAGTATAAAAAAGATACGAGAACTCTTTGAGCATCAATAGTCAAGAGAATAATGATCTTAGACTGTCTAAATTTAACGTTTTTTTTTTTGAAGAGTTCTTTTTAATGTGCAATGTAAATGGGTATGAAAATATACAGTGCACCACAATTAGGTTGTACATCTGTATGTATCATCTTGTATTATACATGGTCATGTAGACTGCAGTCATTCAGAACTTAAAGAACAGGAAGGTAATGTGGAAAAAGCTTTAGATTCATCAGAAATTATGAACAATAGCTGTATAGGTTACATGTAAGGCCTTGGTTTTTTCATGTCTGAGATAAGACATGATTCATAATTATAAGAAGTTTGACAGAAGGAGCATTTTAGCATCAGAGAAGGGAGAATTCTCCAGGTACTACTTGGAATTTCCTAGCTAGATCCTAATCCTTTGATCCCAAAGTGTGACTAGCATCTAATTATTTTTCTTGTAAAATATTATGGAATCACACTGGTTAGAATAAAGGAAATGATCATAAATTCAGAACGTTCTTGATTGCTAGACAAATTTTTCTTGTAAGCTCTGTGAAGAGTTACCTACACAAATCCATGCTAAAAGCTTTCAGAAACAGTAAACAAGTGAGAGCATTTTATACTGACTTGTCACTGCTCAAGGAAGTTTATGTTATGTTTTGCAAGCATTTTATTTTAATGTAAGATACTGATCTTTAAGATGCTCTGAAGTCATAATTTTGTAAACTACAACAAGCTGCCTCATAAAATGATAACCAAACCAGGAAGCATGGAATAGACTTCTTAAAATTAGTAATAGATTTAGATTAACTGTCTTTCATCTCACAATGCTCTATTTTCTTATAATAAAAAAAATTTACAATAATTCTCAATAAAGTTGTTAATGAATAATATATTAAAACTAGTAATAACCATGGATTAGAAAAGTCGATTTTTACCAACATGATAGTATATACATGTGGTTGGCTGTTACATGGGCTTGAGGCCCTTGCATTAAATAAATACAACCGGTCAGCTAGTCTAAGAGGACCTCCAAACCCTTAAATTGCATGCCCCTACAGATGAAAGCTTCAAAAATAATATGTGTTCTTCAAACACAAAAGTGGATGATAAGAACACATTTAGAAAGAAATGACAAACTTTTTTTTCTTCTGAAAAGTTTCCAAAAGTGCATTGTGATCATTTAGACGAGGCACATATCAACATTTCATGTAATGATGCTATAGAAAATATTGAATTGTCCCTTTGTGCTATTACAACTTTTCAAATTAGCTATGTTGGTGATTACCATTTATACATGACAAATTTTAGTCTTTCTTCTCTACAGTATCCTATTGCCTAATCATTCATGAACAATTTGCCACCTGTTACTAAAGAATATCCCATCCACAAGACAAATTTTGATTTAATTCATGTAAACTGTTTTTGATACACGAATCATCATGTTGCTAAGCTTCAGTTTAGTAGACCAAAACGTTTCCGTTTCCACTCTAACAAAACTAAAGGTGAAGTCTTGAACAGTATGCATCGATGAGGTGCAATATGGATGATGAGACGTGTAAGGTCAAGTAAAATCTGACTTGCCACCCCCAGAGGACCCTCCTCTGCCCACCCCCTGCAATGAAGGACATCATGGTGGCAAAGGAGGGAGGACTAAGGACCTGGGGGTAACATAATTTAATATGCTAATTACTTCAGGGAGGGGATAAAATTGTTTCCTACTCGTAGTCACTGATTGTGGTAAGCTTCGTGCGGTTTGCACTCAATATTAACTCAGGACCAGTGAATAAGTGAATGATGGCTGATAAAGAGAAACGACCCATTGAGGTGTGTACCTAGCTAAAGTCATTCGTATATTTGTACGACTTGGAGAACTGCTTATCTAAGCAGATGCGCGCCAAACGGCGAAAGACAGTTCAGCGTTCCGAATTTAATATCAAGAGTCGACCTTTTAGCGTTTGAGTTTCCATCTGTTTCAAAAAGAAAAACTCATAAATACATTTTACTTAAATTAGGAAAAGTATCTGCCGTAGTTCTTTGTCGAGTATGTCATGATGAAGATCCATGTTCTGTTATGATTTTAATATCCGCCTGTATATGTAGGTATCATGAAAGTGAAAGTACAAATTATTTACTTAATAAGCTACAAGTCATTTTCAAATCCTTCCTTTCTCTATTTCTTCTTTAATTTTCTTTTTTCAAAGGTCTTCTTTTCTTCCGCTAGCCATGAGATTCAAAGCAAAATGCTTCTTGAATTGTCTTCCAATTTAGAATATTTCTCACGTGATTAACAGAAGTCGTACGTGATAGTCGAAAGTTAGGCTTGTGGTCTTTCTATTTTATTTTGCTGAAATATCAATTAACTCTGTTTTGCTGCCGATTCAAAAAATACTCAACATAGTGTGAAAGTTCACGAAAGAATAAAAAATGCGCCAATGAAGAAACCAGAGTGAAATGAAAGCTCTTAGTCTTAGTTTGATCTTTGAGGCAGTTCAGACTTCGAGTTAGGAAAAAAACTACAATTTCTCTGCAATCCTTTGAAAATGCTGTTGCATATGAAAATTGCCAACTTTCCCAAATCAGATGTTGTACCACAAAATGAAGGGCACATTCCAAATTTTACTTCTCACTGGTATGAAATAGCACGTCACCGCTGTATTTAGAGGCTCTAGTATTTAGAACAAAAGCTTTCATTTCATTCCAGCTAACAAGTTCCTCATTCTCAGTGGTGAAGTTTGCACAATGTATACACCTATTTTAAAATGTTGGAAATAATTAACTCTTCAATTCCTACAAGTGACCAAGACAGAATTTCCTCTTTCAACATCAATAAGAAATCAAGTAGGCAAGTGATGAGAACCAAGAAAAAGTATCAATTAAGGGATTATTAGTTGATCCAATACCAAATTCTCAAAAGAAACATCAGAAGAATTGTACAGCAGATAGTAAGGAGAATTACTAATGAGATCTTGGGAGTTAAAGGTTTAATAATGATCATAATTTGCATCTATTGCACCAGACTAAAGCTTCAACACTAGATCTGACATTTATCTTACATCTGCACCACTGCAAATTACTGATGGACATTCTAGTCTCCTTGTGTACTTTTAGAACAGCTGTTGTTCCTAATACGGACATTTACAGAATGCAAATAGGGCTTTTGCGTGATAAAATTATTTACTGAAAATTGACTTGCAAGTCTTATTTGCACAATAATTTTCAACAATTTTTACCAATTTCTTGCTGTCTTGTTTTTGCTTGGAAAATTGGGTAATAAGCTATGTTGGAATGTGTTTGTTTCATATCTCATTTGTTATACTTAGTGTTGTTTTTATTACTAGATCTTGAAGCCATAAACTCTGAGAATTGTATACCAGACAGTATTGAAAAGTGAAGGAAAAATTTTTGGTTATTTATTTTGGAGACAACTCTTGTAATGAAGTTTAAGCCTTTGTCTCATGGTGTAGCCAATGTGGATATGGATTATGTCATTTTGACTGCATACTGCATAGATAGACTCAATAGAGTAGGAAAGCTTTGTGACAGCAGACACTGGAGACAATATTTCTTAGAAATCTTGCCTTACAGCTGTCAAATATCAGTCACAGCTGGGTGTAGTGCTTCATGAGGTGATGCATATTCCATCAACCTTATTGTCTGAGGAATACCACTGTTATACAATTGAAACACTGTGATCCACATCAGAAGTGATTACATTATCAGAAAAATGATTAATGTTTAGAAATTATAATATCTAGATCTTGCAAATAAAAGGGTTCAACCTTTCCATTTCTATTCCAGGGAGATCCAGTAGACCCTTCATCAGGGATGCCTCCTTCATATGGAACAGACAATGCTTCTCCCCCCTCTTATGATGAAGCAATGGGTAAGTGTACCTGCATGGCTCTCTAGAAAAATAAAATTCAGCTCTTCATGCTGCAACCATTTTGGTTGCTCTGTAAGTAGAAAATAACTGCCTCTTTCTCTTGGATGGTCTGAGTTAAACATTTAAACCCTAAGAGTGACCAGCTTCTAATTTCTCTTTACAGTAATACTGGTGAATCGTTCATTTAGATCATGAGAATAAAGAAAATGATCACAACCTCAGAAGCTTTGATCTTAAAAAAATTCTCATTGTCAGTACAAAATGAAATGTATAGCGAACAGTATGGAGAATCTTCATACTGATGTTAGGGTGTAAAGTGTTAAACTGTGAGGTGCCATGCGAGTATGAAGAATAGAAATACTGATGGTGGTAAAGGTTAGTGCTACTTCTAATTTCATTTTTTTCTTTCCTCTATAAGGTCCACCACCTTCATATCAGTCCTTGTTTGGTGAAATCCAAGAAGCACGCTCCAGTTCCAGTGGAGTGCTTGACTTCTTGAAGAAACTCTTTTTGATACTTATTGGAACAAGTAAGAATTTGTGTCACTCTTTTTCAACATAAAAGATCCTGTATAAATTTGAAAAAGTCACTGCTTCATAGAATAATAACTTACAGGGTTTTTATTAAGTCTAGTGATTCTCAGAAAGTTATATTTACTAAACCAAAGTGTGGAAAATTAGGGTAAGGTACAGAGTATTTCCTTAGCTATACCCTGAGAACAGGTCGTCATCTATGATAGCACTGCAGGATGTGTGTTCTCTGCCTGCAGGAAGATTTTAGACAAGCTGGGAAGAGGTTTGCTGAGGATCTGGTAGTAATTATCAGCACAAGACCCCTTGCAGACTTCTTGCCCTCTTGCATTGCTTTTAAAAGGCTTCATACTTTTCCCTGGGCAAAGTTACAATTGTGCTGCATGCAGTCTAAATTAGCTGTAGCTACCAACTAGTATGACCCTCTGAAAAAACGCCTAGCAATGTCATTATGCTCTGAGGGTGGAACCTACAAGGAAAGAGGATTCAAGGTTGTTCCAGGGCAGCTGGAAAAGAACTACTGAAGCAGCTACAGTAAACAGCCCAAACCAGAGCAAGATGGCTGGTAGTTTCCACAGATCTGTGGGGGTATATGGGGAGAAATCAAGTCTGTTGCTGACTAGCTGAGAGCCTCAATTTACTGTTGACAAAACTTTATCTCTACAAATTGCTATTTCAAGTAGTTTTAATTTCTTTCTTTGATATCATTCTTAGTTGGATGTACCATAATGATTGGGCTGGTCATGGCTATTCCCATAGCTATGATAGTCATAGGTAAGTGAAACCTTTACCTGTATGTCCATAATATTGGTTGATAATGTAAATTAGCCACTGTTAAGTGGTTCTAAGCTGACATTTTGAGTGTATGCCCTTTGTCATGCGCTCTGATGTATACTTCCCAGTGATGCTGGAAAACTTGCTAGAAACTTAGCCCCTCTCTGTTTTACCTCTATGTCTTAGAACTTTGACAGTGAAATTATCTTGGCCAAAAGGGGCGATCTCAAATCGGATTTTGTAGAATTGATGAAAAGTTGAATACCTTTAACAGGAGCTAAATACAAAGACCAGTGCCCTGTAGAAGATAAGATTCCCATCTATCTTATTGTTGGTGGAGCTGTGGGTGTGTTCAGAAACCTCATCTCCTTGTGTCAGCGGGCCACAAAATCCAATAATGATGAAGATGAAGACGAGAAGAAGAAGCGCCCTTTTGAGGGCATCCTAGACTGTTTCCTGTTTATCTGGTTTATTTGTGGAAATGTCTGGATATATAAGAATTATAAGCCCGACTTTACTGACTCTGGAAGTGAAGAATATTGTAACCAAACGTTGTATCTGTTTGCATTTTGGTTAACAACCTCCACATACATTTTAGCAGGGGTCATGTGTTGTTGTGTGTGTTGTGTGGGTGTTTGTGCTGCAATATTTAATGCTGATGAATGAAATCTCAAGTGTTAAGGGTAGATGCAAAATTGTTACCCATATGGACAGGAATGTGCCACTGAAGTCTACAAAGACATCATGTAGTCACACAAAATTGCCATTAAGGCAGTCATAATTTTTTTTATAAAGTCATAGGTGATCAATTCAAATGAACCACTGCTCACTTAACTTACAGCAATGAGTTACTCTCTAGCTAGTTCACCTAGATGTGGTTCTATGCAGTTCTCTCCAATATTGTGCACCCATCATTCTTTTGGTTTTTCTTGTTTCCCATAATTAATCTAAGATATTAAGCTCTTGCTGCAATATACTAGTTGGCATTTCTATGCCATTGAATTGATACAAAAGGTGCCTTGAAATATGAGTCATTGAGTATTTAGGTGCAACTTCATCAGAGATCCTGTAATATTTAAGGAAGACATCATAATATGTATTTCAAAGCACTGTTTGCATTTGAATTGGTATTAAGTGATTTTACAAAATCTACTTTTCTAGACAACTGAGCAAGGAAGCTCACCCTTATAAACAATTTTGTGTTGTACTCTAGTCTGAAACAACATTTCAGGGTAGCAAGCAGTTTAGCCTATTTTTCTGCAAGTCCCACTGACTTTTGGAATTAATGATTCTTAATATTAATATATTAATATTAATAGTATGTAATAATCATGGAGACTTTGTAGGTTTTGATTTCTCTAGAATAAAATTTGTATCAGGGCTATAACTTTCTACAGGATTTTCTCTTAGTTTATGAATTCTAGTAGATTTTTGTTCTGATTGCTCCCAGCCATAAGAATCAGGATCTGTGAACATAAAAATTTGCATTGTACTCATACTTCTGTAGAGTTTTGTCTTTGTTTTTACTGCCAAGGGTCCAACAGAGGAAGAGCATATGGAACTCTGTCTTTTTTTTGTGAGTCTTCTGAGTATAAACTTAACCCTTTCACTCCCAAGATCTGATTAGTAATTCTCCTTACTATCTGCCATACAATTCTTATGATGTTAGTTCAGAGAATTTGGTATTGGATCAACTAATAATCCCATGATTGATATTGTTCTCTATTCTCATCACCTGCCTACTTGATATTGTATTGATATTGTAAGGAGAAATTCTGTCTTGGTCAATTGTGGGAGTGAAAGGGTTAAGGATAATTTTCCTTACAATATTGATACTTTTGCCATAAGAGAGGTGATGGAAAGAGAGAAAGGCATCAACCAATGACTAATTTTAAACACAAGTGTCTGATTTTAGACACCAGAGTGCAGCTTTAGTTGGTAGTGTCTGTTAAATTTTGGACAGCAGTGTCCCATTTCAGTCTTAATTGTCTAAATGTAGACACTGGTGTCTGATATTTATAGACATTGTGGGCCAATTTCAAACACAAGTGTCTGATTTTAGGCATTATATTCTGATTTTAGGTGGAAGAGTCTGATTTTAGACACTTGTGTCTGATTTTGGACAGCATTGTATGATTTTAGGCAGTAATTTCCAGTTTTTGACACTAATGTCCAATTCTAGACAGTAGTGTACGATTTTAGACAGCAGTGTATGATTTTAGGCAGCAGTGTCCGGTTTTAAGCAGAGGCGTCCAGTGTTAGACACTAGTATAGGATTTTGAACACATGTATCAGATTTTGGACACTAGCTCCAATTTTTTATGCTAATTTCAGATTTTAAACTCTAGTGTCTAATTTTGGACACCAGTGTTAGTTTTCAGGCATTATAGTCCGAATTTAGACACTAAGTTCTAATTGTGGATACTAGGGTCTGATTTTGGAAACTAGAGTCTTGTTTTGGACGCTAGTGACAAACGAAAGGAGCATGCAACTAAAAATTGCTTTCCCCCCCCCCCCCCCCCCCCCCCCCCCCATCAATGCAGCACCACGCACCACAGTTTCTTTATAAACTTACCCCCTTTCACTATATCCATCAAAAACGTTATTCTCAGCTCAGGAAAACCACCTGAGGCGAAGAACAATTTCTAGTCCTTGCCAGCTGTTGGGTGATACTAGACCCGCTTAACCATTTACCTTTGCCTTCCTCTCTATGATAATTATAAAACGCAGGCAGGCAAAATTAGGTACAAGCAAACCAAACTGTAGATGCTTGGATAAAAGCTTGATTCACCTGGTAACGTACAAACGAAAGAGGCTTGAAAAAGCTTTTTCGTGGCACTCAGCTAACACTCTCTTGGATGAACACTCGAAAAAGGCCGAGTTTCCTGCTTTTTGCCTGATCGAGCTATGCCCTACCCATCGTCTTCAGACAACCCTCTCAGCTCTTCGCCCACCGCCCTTATGCTTGCCTAATCGATTCACCGCACTTCACTGGCTGTAGCCCACAGTGATCGCGCTTCGCAGACCTTTCGTACCCAAAATACAGCGTAATTAAGACGAGGAAAAACCCTCCTCAAAGATGATGCTTCTGCGATCTGCTTTGAAATAATAAAATGTAACACCCTCTTTTATTTAGTCTTAAAATTAATCGTTGACTTCGTTGCCTAACTTGTAGCTGTTATATGTAAATTATCCCTCGTGACCGACAATTAATTGGTTGCTCCCCGACAATCGGTCAAAAAATTTGTCTCCATGTCAATCTGCATTTATTTTTCTCAGAGACACGTATATGACGACCACATGTACATTTTCATTCGACGATTTGGATAATTTCGAGGCCTTTTCATCAAGACTTGTTGCAGCCTTTTCAGGTGGATATATTAATTTATTCATTGGCGATCCAACTTGCTATTGGTCAGTTTGTTCGCTGATATATTTGCCGTTAACGGTGCTGGCCTTTCTAAGAGAGCAACCAACTCGTCTACTCGACAGAAAACCGTCTAAAGTGTCTCTTTTTTGCCTCTTGGGGGTTTCCATGCCTCTTCTAAGGAAAGACTGAAACAGTTAGTGCGGCGAACACTTGTGACTTTTCGATGAAGGACGACGAAATGGTGAAAGCGCACTGCCGTGAACAATGCAAGTGGATCCTTCTTTTAATTTGGTGATCTTAGGCTGATCGACATCTGCCGGATATTTGGTCATATTTAACGTAGAAATTATAATGGTGAGTCATTTAGGTAATTCCACGGCACGATCTAGAATTGTAAAGTAGAGTTCGCACAGAATTTCCGACAAATATTGTCTTCGAATTCTTTGTTTATCGCTGCGATCCTATAAATGGCGCGCTCTTTTGTTTATTATGTACAATATTCCTGTCTCGTTAAATTGCACTTTTACATGTAATTTTGAACCAGGATTTGCATAATTCAGCCACTGCTTAATCAAACCATTGACCGGATGGTGCTAGGTGTTTTTTTCCAAACTGAGTGCGACGAGTGTTATTTTCGTCGTTGAACGAAATACTGTAAGCGTTCGATACGGGTTCAATGGTAGAATTATGCAGTTCATAAGGATTGCGGGCGATGATGCAGAGAGGAGTAAGAAATACAAGCGCCCTCTTAAGGTACAAAAAATTGCAGCTGTTTTATTTATGTTTTGTGTGTGGCTTTCTCATAAGTGCCTCTGTGCTGGAGTCTATGAAAGAATCGGGATTATTTATTTAAAATTCCGATTCCCTTTAAGAGATGTCTCTATCAGCGTTTTCTGCGGTGTGCAGAAGCCATGATCAGTTTATCCATTGAACTCTTGTTAACATTTTAACTAATCGCGGTAGTAGGAGTATTTTTCGGTGGCGTGGAAACACGCTATGAGACGACAAAAATTCGGGTCTTTAAAAGACCACTTCAGTAGGAATTGTGCGCTAATATTTCAGTAAAATCTTACAACCTAGAGTTGTGGCGAGTTTGTAAGATACTCCTGTTAAATATTCTTTTTTTATAATTTGAATTTCCTGATCAAGTTAAACATCTACGCCTCTTTGCACCTGGCCTTCAGGAACTTTTTAATAAGCTTTGGGTGTGAATTATAAAAAAGCAATTCCATTTTAATTTACACTATTGTTTTGGAAGATCGAAACTGTTTACCAAAATTTGCTCAGGTGAATCCTGCAGTCCCAATAACAGTGATTTTCATTTCGTTGAACAGTAGGGTTTTTCCTTTTTTTTTGTGTGTTTGACCTAAAAAGTTTTCATATAATTTTTACGTAGATGAACATTGTAGTTTAGTCTCAGATGTCAAGGTATCATGTACACTTTGTTTTAACTTTCTGCTTGTGCAAATATTATCACTGATTCAGTATGCTTATTTCATAATCTAAAAACTTATGAGCAAACGACTGGAGTTCTTATCAACAAAAGCTCAACTGGGTTTGTTCATCAGGTTCTAGAGGTTTTTAAGTATTTGTTTTTATAAAATTGAAATTCCAGATTGTCAGGACTCTTTGGTTGGGGATTAGGGAGCATAACTTCTTGTTGTGGGATGTTTGTAGAGATTATACATGTTGAGCTTCATCACTGAATCAACTTTGTAGCTAGCTTGCAGTCTTAAATGCATTATTGAAACAAAAATTTTATATTTACATTCCAGGGATTAGTTCTAAGACAGCAATGGTTTCTAGGTTAAAAAAAGAAAAACACAATCCATATTATTATATTTTTGGTGAAAAATAATCCACAAGGTATTTACTAGGCACTTGCAATCAGGTATGACATATTTTAAAGGGATTTTGCAGAATTAGTGATGACCAGATACAACAGAGCACTCAAGTTTTATAGGAGTCATTGGTGATGCACCTCACAAAGGGAACAGCTAAATTGGAATTTATTAGCATATAGCATAAACATACAAATTTTTTTTTTAATTTCAGAATCACTTGAAATTTCTGAACAACGTCTGATACTCTCAAGAATTTGAAAGAACTTCTCAAAAGATATTCCGTCAACATTTTTCAGTTGATGGGCATAATTAGCTAGAGAGTAGTTTTGTACGCTAAAAAAAATTTATATTTAGCTTTTTCCTTTTTTTTTTCTTTGCTTTTATTCTATGACCATTTCATTGCAATGAGGTGCATGGTCAAAAAAGAAAAAGATAAATGTGAGATTATCATGAGCCTTTTGACAGGCAGTGGGCAGGGGGTCTGTAAGATTTTTTTAGGGGCAAACCACGATTAAGTGTGTGCCTCACCAGGAGTTTTTAACTTAGCATATCAACAAACTTATATTCATGCAAGGAGAAGTACTGGCAAAGAGAGTATCTAGCACCAGAGGGTAGATTCCTCAGATTTGCATGTTTCCCCAAAACTGAATGATGAGAAGTGTACATATGAGGGGGTCATTGTACCCCCTCATAAATAAGAGGAGTCACAGTCACTCCGGGGCATCCTTTAGCTTGTCATCCCTGTTCAACCAAAATGTTACAGTGAGTATGTTATTAGCACTGGATTCATAACGGGATTTTGACACATAATGACACTGTGCCTGATTCATTTTAGTCTGAAAAGAGCAGTCAAAACCCCACTGAAGAAGAAGACAAAATTTGGCCTGAGGATGCAGCACCGCCCAGCTATGACTCACTGTTTGGGCAAATCAAAGAAGCTAAGGAGACTTCTGATGGTTCATTTGATTTCTGCAAACGAGTTGTACAGCTCTTTGCTGGAACAAGTAAGTTAAAAGAGCTCTCAAGAGCTGTGCATTTCATATTTCTGAAGCTGAAGCCTCCAGGCACCTAGGGATTCCCTTAAAAACACTGGTATTTATAATAGTGCAGTACTCAAAGTTTTGTTTACGTAAGAAAGGTATCTGATTGAAAAGATACTTAATTTCAATTGTTGATCTTGGGAGTTTAATGTGGATCCTTATCATCAGTCCTCAAGAATTTACTGTGATCAACAAAGCCTAATCATCTGAAATCTTTACTTTTTTTGGCAAATGGTATCTTTAAGAAGCTTAAGTACTTTGGGGATCCAGAAAATCCTTGATAATGTCAAAAAGTTTTGAAGGCCCCTTTGATCTTTTTGGTGTTTTAGAGATTAGATTTAGATTATATGTCAGTCAACTTAGCTGAAAATTGTCCATAGTTTACAGTTGGCTGCACCATTGCTTTGATTTTATTGATGGCACTTCCAAATTGCCATGGTCTTGCCATGTCTTCTGAAGGTTCATATGATTACATGTTGACTTAACTGAAAATTGTCCATAATTTACAGTTGGCTGCACCATTGCCTTGAGTTTATTGATGGCACTTCCAATTGCCATGGTCATTATGGGTGAGTAACAAAACAAAAATGATTTAAATTTCTTCTGTGCATGGCTTGAGTTATGGTCAAGTGATCCCTGGAAAATGAAGTTTCCTTACAATTAAATGAAATAAATTTGATCTTTATTTGAATGTGTCTGATATGTGATCATCATAACAAAATGATTCCCAGTGATGATTATTGTAATCAAAGGAATTGCAGATAAAAGGCTGTAAAAGTTCATGCTTTGATAGGATTTGATCCTGTGCCGTCTAGATACTATTTGTGTGCTCAAAGTTGTTGTTTTTTTAAGTGAACATAGCTAGTAACCTGGGTAGAATATTACAAGGTGTTGTTGACTTTTTTTTTCTTGTTTGATAGGTGCTAAGTATAAGGATGATTGTCCTGTGGAACCCTTCATTCCAATTTACCTCATTGTGGGAGGATCATTTGGAATGTTGAAAACCATTATAGTCCTTTGTCAACGAGCCAGGACTCATGAAGATGACTTGGACATGGATGAAGATCAATCCATGTCCACAAAATTTATTGACGGCGTTTTAAATCTATTCTTGTTCACATGGTTTATTGCCGGAAACATCTGGGTATACAGCAAGTACCGACCAAATCCAACTCCGCCACCAGGCGATCCACTTAACTATTGCAATCCAACACTTTATTTGTTTGCATTTTGGGTGATCACAGCCAGTTATATACTGATGGGCTCAATTTGTTTCTGTATATGTTGTCTAGGAGTGTGTGCAAGCTGTACAGCATTCTTTGTTACCGCAAAAGAGTGAGAAATTTAAATTTTTTGAGGACAGGTTGTTGTTATTTAAGGATCAGAGAGATAGGATAAGTTGGGAAGACAAGGAATGCCATTTTCTAGTGTTTTTCTGGCATAAGAAAAAAAATGTAAAGCTTCTAGTTTTGGTGCAGTAATATTTAAGGTTGACAACCACATTGTTAAGGGTAAGAACTTTATTAAAGAGCAAGCACATTAAACTTGCTAATACAGGAAAAGAAATTACTTCATATTACTACAAATTGACTGAAAATCTGGTTTAAAACTGAAAGTTATGTAGGTTTTATTTAAACAGGGTTGTCAAAAGGATTTTGAGTGACCAGACTGTGATACAAAGTAGCTGGTACTAAACAGTTTTAATTCCATTAATAACATGCTTCCATACTGAAATTTTACTCCCCACCCTTCCATGGCTGAGGTTTTTTTTTAGAGTTAAAGGTGGATTGCACTGGTTGCCAGCTTATTTTGACAACCCTGTTAATATGTTTGTATGCTCAATATGGTCTTAATGGGATGCACAAGGCTCCCTGTTGGTAAATACTCTTATACAAACCATTCATGCAATTGATAGATTAAGTTCAGCATAAATTGGAAGCATCTTTTGAGGGAACACAAGTCAGTGTTGTAAACTCTTGATCATTCACCAAGCTGTTTTGTTTGATTTAGTGTAATAGTGGATTTAGAGTGGAAGTCGGTTAGTCCTTCGCCATAGCAGAAATCTAATCATTTCCCACTTCCTTCCTCCTGAAAAAATACCAAGCACACTCTCACCTAGAAAACACACTAGCATACAGAGCCTACAAAAGTTAGTGAATGGAAGTCAAAAAGCATGGGACACAATTTTGATATGGTAGTTTATAGTTATTTCTGGTTGATGTGTGAGTAAATTTGCATTTTCCACCCATTCTCCCACTAACATTGCATTCTTTGATACTGCTTAGATGGTAGGCTTGAGTATCAGTAGTGTTTCATGAGTCTGTCTTCTCATGCCCCTTCTTCTCTAGGTTGAGAGGAAGGGCAGAGACCCCAGAGAAGAGTTTTGTTGGGGCATTTGAAGCACCGCACAAAACTAGGATTCAAAAAATAACCTTGACAACTTGCACCTGGTCATCTGAATAAGTTAATGCACTGAGTTTGAATAACAGGTTTCATAGCTTGTATTTAGTAGGATTCAGGAATTGATATGCCAGAGCGAGGTCTCTAATGCAGTTGTTTGGTCTTGTGACACAGCACCTCTCTCTTGGGGGGAGGGGGGGAAGGGAGGTGTTGTTATTAGGAAAAGTTATTATAAAGTATTATCGTTATGTTATGATACTATGGATTTATAACTAAATTATGTAGCCATTGTGGCTAACAGGGTTATGGTTGGGTGGTTAAAAATGGCAATAGGATGAGATACACTTAACGTTAAAATATTTTGTAATATCTTAAAGTTATTCAGAGAGTGAAAGGAAAAATTCTGAGTGGTTTGTCGTTGTTGTAAACAAAGATGAGGGTTCAGTTGGTTCCCAAGTAAAGAATTGAAGAAATTTTTCGCTAGCCTCACGCGTGAGCGAAGTGAAAGGGATCTTGTGGTCTAATTTGCCACTCGAGCGGGAATGATTGGCTAATCTCGTTGTTTGCTTCGCAAAAAGAAAACGCATATGAAACCCACTGTGGTTTTATTTATTTAATCGTATTATAGGGGTGAGGATGTTGTATGTTCCATTGCAGTTAAAATAATTATTGAAAACTTTAATCTTGTTCAAACGGTAAAAGTTTTGCTCTTCGCGGGAAGACGACGGGAAAGCACAAGTGGGCTCGGAAAGCCAATCAGATTTTGTTTCATCTCTCGTCATTGGATAATTTTTTCCCAAAATATAATTCGCTTTCGATTAATCATAGTGATTAATGCTTGTGCAGTATAATGTGCTTGTGAGAAAGGAGAAACAATTCGGGAATTTCGATTTTCAAGGAGATATTACGATGTTAGACGTACGATGTTGCGATGTGTCTCCGGTTTAGGGTTTCCTTTTTCCCTACTTTACAAGATCCTTGTTCTAACTTGATAATTTGGAATGCTGCATTGTGACATTACCAGTTCCTCGAGAAATGTCGAGCGCCTCTCAGCGAATTAACTAGTTTTAAAGTCAGGACCAAAGTCGTCACAATGGCCAATCTGGGCAAGGAAAAATGCGCACTACTTCAAGCGTAGGAAAGCTTGAGCGACAAAGTTTGGATTGGTTTTTAGCTTTGGATCTGATTAGTTGAGAGGATGGTGCCAATGTTTTTTTTTTGGACCAATCATTTAGCGAGGTAAGTTACTTTCGACATTCAATTATAGTTTGCTTTATGAACTTCGGAAATCGTTGGCAAAATCATGTTGAGAGACAAACTTGAAAAAGCTAATGTACCTCAATGATATACAGACTAAATAAACAACCTGCAATTATATATAGCACAAGTCAAAAAGTTCTATTTCATAATACTGTGAATAAACTCTTGAATGAGAGTCGATTAATATCTAAATAATTCCTCACCGAAGAATGCCAGTATTGGTTTTTAAGTGTCTCTTGTTACACCTTTGTTATTTATTTATTTCTCCAGAAGACCGATTGCTTCACGCCCCCTTAAACTTAATTACCATAAAAGAAAATTTCTTGCTGTGTCGAGTACCCTGTCTAATGTAACTAACTTGCATTTGAATTTAAGGAGAGCAACACTTAAAAAGTACAGACTGAAATTTATCCTTATTATTCATGTAATTCCTCGCAGCTTTTCATATGTTGAATAAATTGTGTCTTCTTAAAGCAAAGAAGATCAAGATGTAAAGTGTTTTACATGAGAATGCGTATTTTGATAATGAATGATCATCGAAGCTTTTCCATATTTTCGCACCTGTTTTTTGGGAATTCTTCACCTATTTGACATTTCAAAATTAAGTTACCTTCAAAGAGCGACGGTTGGAAGAGAGAAATGACAGCTTGTCTCCACAAAATTGAACCCCTTCGGCTCGGCCTTTCACATTCACAGACACAGGAGCGGGGCTGGAAATTTCCGTCGAGCTTCGATCACAGACTCTTGCGTGCGTGCTGCTTTTAAAGGTGAGGGGGATTCGGATATGAGAATACTTAAATATGTACTGCAATATTGTCTACAGTTGGTCTGACTTTGTAATAATCATTTTCAGTTAAAGATCACCATAAAACAACCAAATTCCAAAACACTTGTCTCTAAAGTCTTCGTTTGCAAGTAAACCAAAGACGTACCGCTGTGCTGATTCACGAACCCACCTTTGCATTGTCTCGTACGTTCGCATATTTGACTTAAAATTCAAACACGCGATTATTAAAAACTGGTTATCTTAACTGCATTTCGTTTCAGAGCATTTTATTTATTACGATATCGTTGAAAGCTTAAATTACAAAAAAATATATAGATATTTGAGCTGATAAACAATGCAAGCGTTATGTTGAATGTTGGTTTGATCTCTGAAATTTCTAAGAAAGAAATTGATTAAAAGAAATTTTCATGCGCGGTTAACAAATATAGCGTACGGCAATTAATTATTAACCATGATGAAGCTTATTTTCACAGCTAACGTAATTTTTAATGAATGATGCAAAGAGGCTGAAAGGAAGATAATATAGCTATGCAATCGGAAAATAGCCGCTCTGTTTCCTAAAGATTTTTTTCGTGCGGAGATGTTGATTATTATGATGACTTCACATGTGTTCGTGTGAAATCTAAAACATATTTTCAAGCAGCTTTTTTGCGTGGGTAGTGAAACTCAAAACTGGAATAATTAGAATTCAGAGTTGGCAAGTTTTATTTATTAAATTCTCGTTTATATCTCAGAAATTCAAAATAAAAGTGTTGGTTTTGTCACTTGTAATTCAGAAGAATTTCCTCCTTTTGCTCTTGAAAAAACTTGAGTTAATTTTAACCCTAAGCGTTTTTAAAGATTTTTCAACAGAAAAAAAAATTTTTATACTTGTCGCCAGGCGTTTTTTTAATTGCGATGAGATTTCTGCGCGGGGAAAAAAACACCTAAATTATTACAAAGACAGCCAACGGACCGCTAAGGAAGGAAACGAACTAAATAAATCTCAATCCACCAATCAAAATACAGAAACATTGCTTAGGCCGCGCGCGAGCGATGAAAAACAGACCATCTGTTTCGGGATTATTTTTGTTTAGTCTTACTCCGCTCTGTGATTGGTCAAGAAAACTTGCGCCACCCTTTCAACCAATCAGGTTCAATACTAAAACCAATAAAAACTTCGACACTCTTGTTTTCCCGCGCTTTACGCAGTTCGCTTGCTTCAGCCTATATGTTATTTAATATTTTGGTTTTCGCTTTTTTTCCTTCAGATCATGTCCTCAGTGGCTCTCGACATTATCGCTGAGACCAAAAGGCGTAGTCTAAACAGGGACATCAAACCGGACTCGCCAATTAGAGGCAAGATTGGAAAGTGTACGATTCACCACGAGTCAGAATTTAAAGCGCTCTGGGACTGGTTTGTCCTCGCTCTGGTGCTTTACATTTCAATTGAAATCCCATATGAAGCGGCATTCTTCCAGAAGGAAGCGCGACGTAAAGGAGTATGGGAAAAAATTTCCTCGGGGGAGCCCCGTGAGGTGGTGAACCTTTTGGTCGACTTAATGTTCATCGCTGACATACTGATAAATTTCCGGACGACTTACGTGGACACAACATCCGCAGTAGTGATCAGCGCACCCAAGAGGATCGCCGTTCATTATCTAAAGACTTGGTTTACGATAGATTTTGTGTCCGCCATACCATTTGATTACTTCATTCCGGACGAGTTTGAAGGGGTACGGAAACTAATTAACAAAGCGCTCCACTTTAACTGGGAAAACTGGCTCTAGTTGTGAGAGTCTGTCTATTAATCTTGCTGTATTTTTGTTCCTACTCTGTGAAAAAGTTCTTCCTCATAGCAACAAAAATTAAACTTCAGTTTGCGCTGAAGTTTGGACGGTAATACGATGATATTGTTTCTGATCGCTCACCGACAGATTATTGACTGTCGGACGCCTGTTGGCTGACGGGTGTGCTTAAAACTGTCGGCCGACAGGTTTTTTCAGGGAGTTGTTCTCCACAATTTTACAAATGCAATTACATTGAGCCACATCAATAACTAGAGCTCTTCAAAATGTCGCAACTGCTCTATATCTCAATTAATTACGATATTTTGAATTTGATCCACAAAGCTTCTGTAATTCGAATTTTGAAAGGAAACATTTCAAAACTAAGTAATGAATCGGTGATTGCGATAAAGCTCTTTATCTTGTCAAAAATAGTGAAGCATAACAACTTAACGAATCTTTTTATTTCCATTGTCTCAGGCTGCTACTGTCGCTGGTCTGTTGAAAACTGCTCGTCTCCTTCGTCTCGTCCGAGTCTCCCGCAAAATGGATCGTTATTCTGAATACGGTTTAGCGGTCGTTTTCCTGCTGACGTCTCTTTTCACTCTTGTTGCCCATTGGCTGGCTTGTATCTGGCACGTAATTGGCAGGGAAGAGATTGGAGTCCCGTATGGTTGGATTCAACTTTTGGCGGGAACATTAAACAAACCGATAAATGAATCATTGCCGGGAAGCGGACCGGGGGCTGGGACCCGATACATCACAGCTTTGTACTTCACGTTAACCAGCCTGACGAGTATCGGATTTGGGAACGTTGCTCCTAACACCGACAATGAAAAAATATTTTCTGTTATAACGATGTTGATAGGAGGTAAGTAAAGTGCGTCTCTTTTTAGTTCCTTTGGCAAAAACGTTTTTCCTCACATAAATTTTGGTTTCCCAATGTAAAATAATGCTCGTCTTGAACAGATACGATCGCAAGAATTTCAGGCGCCCTACCAAGGGCTTCTATGACCAGCAGACCTGACAGAACGACCAAACTTTATCAACAGATTATATTTGACCAATCTCGATTGAAGAACGCATTTTGACTGGTAGTTAACCCTTACTGCTTAGCTCGGATCCTGTAAAGAAGACTTCTATAACAAATTTATTTTCAATAATGGTTTAGCCATATTTGAATCTGGCTGATATTTTTTTTTTAAATAGCTCTATTTTACGCGGTGATCTTTGGAAACTTAACGGCCATCATACAACGCCTTTACTCCCGTTCAGCCCGATATCATGGAGATATGCGAGTCGTTAAGGAATTTATTTCCTTATATAACATACCAGAATCCCTTCAAGGGACCCTCCGAGAATACTTTACCATGGAACAAGCGGCAACTAAAGGGAGTGATATCGAGTCGGTAAGAAGAGGTGCTGGTGTACATTAGTTCGAGGTTTATATATATGTTTTTGCTAAAAACTCACGGGGCCTTGCTTAGGGGAATTCTTTGAGGTCGTCTTCCTATCTCCCTCAGGGGATCCCCGTGGAAGTTCCGTAAGGTCGTCAGTCGTCAGCATGTTCCGAAGAAGATTTCAGTGTAAGGTTCCCTTGGGTGGTCTTAAACATATTTCCAAGAAGATCTCTTCAAGAAATTCCTTGGGGTCTTCCTTGGCATTTCCTTAAGGGGATCGCATAAACGCATTAGAGACAAAAGAAACTTCCCCGGACAACTTTCACTCCATATTCCCTTCCCTCTCCTAGGGGTCTCTTATACAGTATGACACTTAGAGGGTATCCCGCAAGTGCTTCAAGGAGCGAATCTGGTAGTCTCGTCTCTCTCTCTCTTAGATTTTTGATAGACGAAAAGATTTTCCCTATAATAGCCTCCGATCTCATTTATTATCTTCTGCCATCAGATCATGTACCGCTTTCCTGAATCACTTCAAGCCGACATTAGAGTTCACATAAACCGCCAGGTGTTTGAAGAATTTGAGATTTTTCGTGGAGCAAGTGAAGGCAGTCTCCGCGCTCTCGCCAAGGCATTTCGTGTCGAGATGTTTCCTCAACATCACTTCCTGTTGAAGGAAGGCGACCAGGTCACTAAGCTTTATTTCATTGTGTCCGGCACTGTGGATGCCATACAGAGTCAACAAAGTATGAAGTTTCTGGGTAAGGACGGATGGTCACCGGTTTCAATTCAGTGTTAGGGTTCGATAGGCAGTGTCAAATTTTATCCGTAGGATTCAGAGAATTTCCCGAACAAAAACAACTTATGATCGGTTAACGCGGTTCCTAACAAACTCACAACATTTAAACTCGTTTGTCTTTTCTCAAAAATTCAAAGAAACTAACTGGCGTCTCGTTCTTTAGGTCCGGGAGAGATTGTTGGTTGTAACGTGACATCGTTTCAAAGAAGGCCTGGTCACTCTTTTAAATCCAAAGCTAACCTTGTCTCCAAGGTTAATTCCCAGGTCCATCTCATCGAATGGCAGGATCTTCTGCGAATCACAAGAGTGTATCCTGAAATCAGGGAACGCGTTATGGAACAGATGGAGCTATCTTATGACCTGGATTCTACAGAAATGGTAAGAAAACAAAAAATTGAAAAAAGTATCGCCTTGGATAAAACAAGGACGACAAAACCACTGCTAACCCTGCGGCGGGTTTTGCACGTGACAAAAATATTCTGCAAACTGACTACCTTCTAGCGTCGTTATACAACCTTTAGTTCTTTTACAAAATTGTGCTCTATCAGGAGCCACATGCAGTCTTAGACTGTTTATTTTTTTATTCTACTTGACGCTCCAAAGCGCCAGTCGCGTAACAAGTTTCTATGTTGTACCTGCTTCACGATCGGTCAGTATCTCCAAGTTTCAACCCTTTCTCTGTTTTCCGATTGATTTGCAACGCACAGGAACATAGAGATTCCAGGGCAGGAGATCGAAAACAAGACTGCGTCGACTTAATCCAAATGCCCGCCGATGAAAACAGTGCTCAAGTTTTAGCTCTCCGACGACGAAGGTCACGGTCTAATACTGTGGAAGAATACTCCAACACAAGCGACCGCACATCAAGTGAATATCAGATCAACAGAGAGCTGTTTACCACCAATATAGATGTACAGCAATTAGAAGCAAGGCTAGGACATATAGAAGATTTATTGATCAAAATTGCCAAGTCCTTAAACATAAAAGACGGCGTGATACCTAAAAGCCAATCAACTAATGACTTGTTTGCTAGTACTTCGTACGTGTAACTAGGTTCCCTAAGGGACCAGTTATAATTTATTCATTGGGGGATGGCTTGGGGTCAGAGGAAATGAGGGGATCATGGGTCACATGGCTTTCGGGGGAAACGGAAGGGGAATCAGTCGTCGTTAACAGAGTATGAAGGCGGGCGGGGACTATAGAAAATTATTGCCAATGAGGTTGAACTATAGGAATACTAAAGAGCCTTAGGGGGAGATTAGGTGATTTTTTTTTTTTTTTTACGTGACGCAACCAAAATCCCCTCCCCCACCCCTGATGCAATGAATAACGACTACACGTACACGTTACTTACTTGGTTACTTAGTCTCACACGTTACAAATTTGATGTGTATAAAAATCACACCATATTGAAATACTAATGAATTTTTATTGTACTATGACCGTTTTTGTTGACCATTAAGTCAATTTTTTATGATACTTTCCTTTTCTGAAGAAGGACACATAGAGTGATAAACGAAAGGCAACCTGAAAATCTAGTCCAAATATTTCTTCTCTCTCAAAATCGGCTCTGTATAGTTTTCAAAACTGAAAGATTGTATAAACACCTCTTTTATGAGTGTAAAATCAACTTAGCAGCTGGACTCAATGAACACCTACTAAGTAGGGACCTTTTTCAACAGTGACGGCGATGTAACTTACGTGTAGCCGTACCCTCCCTCCCAAGGTGAAACGTTACCTCGCCTCCGTTTCATCTTGGGGGAGGAGAGGGTACGGCGACACGTAAGCTAACGGCGATGGCAACGAGGACGAGGCAAAACAAATGGTCTTTTGCGTAGAACAATGGCTCAGCGCGTAGGAACATTTTTTGGCCTTCCTCAGCAAATCACCATAATTTGCGTGGTCTTCGAAGGGGAAATCTCTACGACAAATTATTTAAGTTTCCTACACCTACTCTGGTTGGTGATGCTGTAGTTGAGGTGTAGTACCGTAAGAGATTGCAAACACACGCAACCATTTGCAAAATTGTGAATTAAAATACAATTTCATTTTTTAAACAACGTCTACCTCAGCGTTTCGGTCTTGATAGCTAAAGGTCCCTAATGATGATTCACTCTTACGACCTCTTTTTACTCACACGACATATATTCCTATTATATCGAACAACTACTTGTTTAACTAAATAGTTAGCTTTTCTCCTGCTTTTTATGCGTGCTACAGGTATATAATGGCACACATGATGCAATAAACTTGCTTATAATATAGATCAGAACAACGCCTCATGACTTGATCAGTCGAAAAGAGGGGAAAACATGATACATGTATCTTTATTCGTTACAGTTTTTGAGACTTCAAGTTGCCTCCCCAAAGATACGAAATAAAATGTATTTTTTCTCTCATCGCAAGCTTTGAAACTGCTTGAAAACTCAAGTTTCGCAAGGGGTACTGAAACATGTTTACATTGTAAACGAACCTGGACATATTCAAAGCAGGTTATAGGTTTTTAATCCGACTGAATGAGCTTTGACTGATAGAACAATCTTGCATAGCCGTGCGGCACTTTTCTCACTTGGTCAAAAAGATTTCTGAGTGGGAAGCGGTGGCTGCTGCTGTGGTGAACTCTCATGCTCAAAGATTTGCATAGTCTCTAACAAATTCCGCAGACTGGAACTTGATCCTGGAATGCAAACAGATAACAGTGTTTTCATAAGATTACACAGTCCACACACGCTCTCGACTTGTAGGAATAATCCATTTTAAATCTTAAATCGATTCGTAACCTATGAACCGTTTATCAAGAATTTTTCCGGTTTGTTATTTGTGCCCTCAAAGTTTTCAAATGCATGTTATCTTGTTCTGCTCGCTCCTGAGATTCTAAAAAACTTCGTACCTTGGCATGACGTTGACATAACAAAAGAAGGCAAACATTACAGGACAGATATGACGAATCGTTCTTTATTCATAGTACACTCTCGTTGAAATTATGGCAACTGAAACAGACTAGTATCCTCTAAAAAACTTAACCTTTGTTCAAGTGTGATCCGATGAAAAATGTTTTCACCCATTTTTTCTAGATCATCAGCCTAAATTACTAACATATGTACTTGGAAAAATATTTTATCTTCACAGAAGGTCTGAATCATCACGTACGGATTAGGGTTGGATTGGCACGATGTATGTAAATTATCGAGCCGACCGCAGGCCAGAGACAACACACAAACTATTTTAAGAGTCACTTCAACATCTGATTGCTCATGCATTTCCTACGTAAACACAGAGCTTTTAGCCCTCAAGAAGTTTTAAATGTTTTTGTAGCCATCTAGCAGTGAAGACGGTTTCCGTTCATGAACGCGTGGCGTGGTGGAATTCAAAACCGTGGAGTGGCGTTGAAAATTTCGGACGCTGGAAAGTTTCGGTGGGACAACAGCGCGAACGCAGTTTTTCTCTTCAAGGGAACATGAACTACTTTTGGAAATCTGTTCGCGCCGTGAGCTTCTTGCTTGCGTGTTTTGCTGCCAATTTTCCAATGCTGGATGCCACGAAGACACTATACATAGGAGGTTTATTTCCAATGAGTGGTTCCTCTGTAGCTTCGGCAGGAAAAATATTTCTTCCTGTAAGCGAACTGGCAATTGATATGGTGAACAACCGCACCGATTTGTTAAACGGTTACCAATTGCAGCTCATATGGAATGATACACAGGTATCCAAAATCATTTTATTTTGTCTGTTGGTTACATCTCAGAGTATAGTCACTAAAACTCAAATTATTTGGTTTCTTAACAACTTCACTAGTAGTGAGTTTCATTACAACTTCATCATTTGCGCGACATTTTCAGACACAGGCAAAACCATTTACAATACCTTGAGTACTGTGGGAAGTTTAGGGTGACCTTTGATGACATGTCGCATTACAACGCTGACAGCCTATGTGTAAGGGATAAGTTAAATACTTCAAAATTATATTGTGTCCTGTCTCTCTCAAAATCGCTTCTCTCCACAGTCATTTCCCCCCCCCCTTGCGAAAAATGGCCGTTGAACATTCAAACTTTTTTCGTTTTGAAATCGACGCGTTGTTTGATCGAAAAAAATTCCTTTGGTTACGCACACGAAAATAAACGACTCAGCTATTATTCTATTTAAAAGGAAATTTAGCTCCCAAAATGATGCAATATACAACCTTAACAAAGGAACAATAGGGAAATGATATCTAGAGCGTAATTATCTTAAAAGTGTTTGGATCAAAATTAGTGTAGACTTGAACAGATTTTCGTTGTCATGGCCTGGAAGAATCTATATCGTTAACTGCACTTCAAAGTCAACAATGGCCTATTAAAACTCTCAGAAATAACTTCCGAAGGGAACGAAAAGTCAGTATTCAGTACTACTGAAATGTTTTACTTTACGAAACTTTGTTTGAAAACATTTCAGGCATTGAATTCTTATGTTAGACGAAACATTTTATTCTTTTTGTTAACAGAACGTGGCTGTAACATTTGTTTGCGGCAAACGCTTCTTGAATATCACTTCCGCTAGTTTGCCTTGCGTTTTTCGAGAGCTTTTCGAAAACCACGTCAAAATATGCCGGCTTTTCCTGACGCCCTTCACATTCATTATGGTTTCATATTGACCAAAAATTTTGTAGTTTGGTTTACAAATTTAGAAAATGAGCGAAGTCTTGTTATGTTGTTTTTCTCCACCACAGAAAGTGAACACTGTTGATATGAGACTAACACTCAGTTGAAATACAATTTTCAATTTCGAATTCCTTTTCAAATCGGTCCAAAAACTTCATTGAGTAGAAGACCATTGTAAATACAGTTCGATTGTTGTTGACATTCTAAGGCTCTTGTTCATAGCCGTTTTGGTTAAAAAATTATGGATTATTCCTTCTAAAGCTTGCAATTAAATTCAAGGGAAAATGAATTTAAAATTTGATATTTCCTCCTCAACAGAACCATTGAATCAAGCAAAAAGTCGAGCGAACAAACGCTTTGTCCTCTTTAAAATCAATGCAGTAATCCAGTTTCGCGTGAAAAATTTATTGACCCGATCTTCCATTTTATTCATTCAACTCACGGCTATCGTCTATGTGCCCTCGACTATGTGAGTGTCAGAGTTTAACATAATTGATTTTCTCGTCCGCTAATATCTTAAACTTCGACGTCATAACCTTTGTTTGGAAATTATCTAATCGTTATTGTACAAAAGGCTCTATTTGAAAGTCTTTCTACACATCAAGTATTGACTTGTTTATCATGATGATATGAGCGCAATCTGTTTTTCATAATTCTTCAGCAATTTGAAATGCTAAGTCAAATTTCATACCTTTTCAAGGTATTTGTAATTACGTAGCGAAATATCGGGCCCGCTTTTCCATATTTTGTTTATTCGTAGTTATGAAGCAATTTTGACGTCGATGCTTAAATTGGAAATATTCTTGTCAAACTTAATTGCTTTCAAAATTAGGATATGACAAAATTTTCGTACTTTAATTGATAACCAAATTTCCAGACTGTGAAATGAAGAAACTTTTCTCCGAATGAAATGATTCCCTTGGCGGCTGTTCGCTGAAGTCTGTAATAAGTAATTTCTGGCTTAGTTTTCCGCTCTAGAAACATTTTCAATGGCTAAACATTTTGGCGAAACAGAAATCATCAAGTATTTCATATAATGGTCTCATTCTGTTCCAATAAGGCAAAATAATTAACAACTATTGACAGAAGATTGTTATCTTTTTACAACATTGATATGTGCAAAATCACGCGATGGTCGAATTTGAATGATTTAGCGCGTTTAAAATTCCCTTTTGTCTTTGCCCTGAGGTGAAAAATAAATTGCAACGATATTCACTACACTTACCATAACTTGACCCCCAAATCTCTTGTTGTGAAAATGAGATTCAATTTATTTTTTTTGGCATGAGTTGACTCGTGTTACCCCACTGGAGAGCAGTCTCCCGTGTTGTGATGTACGTAATATTTACGAAATGCGTCATCTCCCACTGTTACCGAGTTGCAATCAGCTCTTCAGTCAATTTATCAAGTTTCATTATCGGTTTCTTTGATCGGATGTCTAGAAGATCAAAACTTGCAGGAGGTAAATCCATTTCATAATTTGCCTGAAGCATTTTCCCATTTGTCGTGAAATCAAAGCCAAAGTAGAAAAAGCAGTCTTTGAGGAAAGCGGTAACTATCACGAGCAAACTTCCCAAAGCGCGGGAAAACGCGTGTGACCAAGTTGCGATTGGTTTTAGTTTTGTATCTGATTGGTTGAGAAGGAAGCGCGAGTTTACCGGACCAATATGAAATTACTTACAACTCTATGTGAGTCTGGTGAAAAAGGAGAATATTACGGTTCTTAACGTTATTTCATTTCAGAGCTGGCAATACATCTTGTTTCATGCAACTTAAAAAGCTATGAGGCTGGTAGGAAATGATAGGAAAGTCTCAAAAGCGTGTTGCTGCCCCCTTCTGACCCGGGTTTTGAGTAGTGGTCAGTGGTGGTCAGAAATGGATTATACTTATACGATTCTAAAATTTGTTTTATTTTCTGACTAATTCACGGCAGTGTGACCCAGGACATGCGACAAACTCGCTGTTTGAGTCCCTTCACACCAGGCCCCCAATGATAATGCTCCTAGGGGCTGCTTGTTCATCAGTGACCCGAGCCACTGCACAGATCGGCAAGCTCTGGAATCTTGTACAGGTAAATAGTAAATTATTTAACTCTGGTATTTTCTTAAAAGTGAATTCATGGAAATTTTGTTTTGGAGAGGAATATGCCAGATAGCTTGTACAAATAACAACGATTATGCCTGAAATAATTCCTTATAAAATGTAGAGGTAAATTTCGACGAATTAACTCTTAAATGTTGAGGTGCATTTGCTAAATCTAAGAAGGTATTTGCTAAATCTATCAAGGTATCAGAACTATCTTCTTCTGGAATCTCTACCGAAGAGAAACACAACAAAGCCGTGTTTGGCATTCACAAGAAGGAGATTCCAGCTGTTGTTTTGAAGAGGAACGCTATTTTTTTTATAATTACTCGGAGGTCATGCACGTGTAAGCGTTGTTCTGCGAATGACAATTTGTTTACTATTCAAAGCCATACTCCCATAGACAATCCATTTTCATTGTGGTTTTTTTTTTTCATCCAAGCACTGCATGTACAATGAGGTAAGGGGTTATACGGAAATCTTGCCATTTTTATCTTGGATAGAAGCGATCTCTGGTTTGCCGAAACATTGAAGCTCTAGCTTAGAGTCGTGACCCTTTAACTCTTTAACTCCCATGAGTGACCGAGAGAGAATTTCTCCTTACCGTGTCGATACAATATCAAGTAGACAAGTGATGAGAATAAAGAAAAATATCAATAAAGGGATTACGATTTGATCCAATATCAAATTCTCTGACCTAACATCGTAATAATTGTATAGCAAACAATAAGGAGAATTACTAATGAGATCTTGGGAGTGAAAGGGTTAAACGCGTGAATGCAAAGCTGCGTGGTTTAGAAAATAGTGTAACAAGACAAAGCGTGATTAGGAACAGTCGCCAGTCCTCACGTCTTATTTTAATTGACAGGTGTCATATGCCTCCACTGCCAGCGATCTATCCAATAAGGAGAAGTATCCCATGCTATACAACATTGTACCACCTGACTCTGCATATAACAACGCGAGGATAGCTTTCTCAAAGCACTTCAAGTGGAAGAGAATTGCTACTATTCGACAAAATAGTTACGTCTTTGATGAGGTGACGTATCGATCAAATAGCGACATATGGTAACATTTGAGTGGAACAAAAAGGTCAAAAATAAATTAATACATTGGTATTTGAGAGACTGACAAGGAGAGTTTAAACGACAATTAAGAGCCTCGTCGGTTCGTGAGCGTTTCCTTCATTCTCATGACCTTAATTTTTGATTCAACAGTGATGATGTCAGGAGAAATTAGATGCTGGTCACTCGAAGGGGTTTGGAGGGGGGGACGGGAGTTAGCGTGATAAGGGTGGGAATTTAAACGCCTAAATTTTCAAATATCTAGCCTAAGTGAGGACCAGAGGAAAGTAAAATTTACTATGGTGGATTCATGTTAGGACTTTGCGTTTTCATGGTTTACACAATGCACGTCACGTTGAAAGTGTTAAAATTAAAATACTTTCTTTCAGGTTATGGACATGCTCCAAGAAGATCTTATAAACAACAATTTCGATCTTATAGCCACAGAACTGTTTAATGACGATCCTAAGATTCAGGTTGAAAATCTGAAGGTAAGGTTTCCTGAAAAGAAATCGAGAGTTACTTAGCTACGATCAATTCATGAGAAGTTTTCATTGAATATGTATTAACCTCAACAGAAGAGAGACGCCCGCATCATTGTTGGGATGTTCTACGAAGACAAGGCTCGGAGAGTTTTTTGCGAGGTGCAGTATTCAATTACCACGCGATTCTTTGTTATATGCATGCTTTCTGCTCATTTCATTCCTCAAATGTTGCATGATATTGGCGTTTCATGCAACATGCACAGCACAACATTTTAATTCGCAAAGTAGCTTGTTTGAACGATAGGCAGAAAGGATTTGTGACTTGTGTGTCCTTAATTACCTTTAGTGGCCCCTGTGTGTTTTTACCCAAATGTTCTGTATTATTGCCGTTACTTCTAACACGGGAGGCAATCAGACATAGCAGAAGATTTTTAATTTGCAAGGAAACTACTTGGTTAGAAAGCTAAAAGTAAATTGTGAGTTCATGTGTGCTAAAGTGACTTGCTTTACGTCTGCTCTTAACAACATGCATGTCACAGGCAGGCTAGTGGAATTAGGGCCGACTCGCGGACTAAACTTCGAGTCACGTTGATCTTTCACCATACCTTGCTTCGTTTTCTTTGGTGTAGGCATACAAACAAGAAATGTACGGAGAGCACTACATGTGGTTGATAATGGACTGGTACGACAACAAACCCTGGTGGCTCGTTAAAGATGATAAAATTGATTGCACAGAAGGACAGATGAGAATGGCGACCGAGGGCTACTTTTCCGTTGAGAGTGCACGGATTGTTTCCAACCAGGAACCCACTATATCAGGAATGGTGAGTTGAATAGCGTGTAAGGGTGAGGGTGTAGCGTCCGCAATCGGACGGAAGTGTCAGAAATCTGACGAAAGCGTCTGAAATCGGAGTGTGACGTCGGAAATCGCACGATAGCGTCCGAAATCAAAATTTTTGACATAAAGTGTTGAAAAACGATATAAAACTGAACGATTGAGTAACAGACTGACTGACTGACTGACTGACTGACTGACTGAATGAATAAATGACTGACTGACTGATTGTCTTATTGACAGACTAAATGACTGACTAACTGACTGACTAAATGAGTGACTGACTGAATGAATAAATGAATGAATAAATAAACGATTGACTGACTCAATGACTGACTGATTGACTTAATGACTGACTGACTAACTTATTGACTGACTGAAGGACTGAATGAATATTTAATTAATCGATAGACTGACTGTTTGACCAACTGACTGACTGACTAATTGATTGATCGATTGGTGTATAATGAAAATTTCACCAACGTTTCAAAATATTAAACGATTTTCTTTACTCTGCAGACCTCCGAAAAATTTCTACAAACCCATGTCAAGCCTAGTGGAAACCAACTGACTGACTGACTAATTGATTGATCGATTGGTGTATAATGAAAATTCCATCAACGTTTCAAAATATTAAACGATTTTCTTTACTCTGTAGACCTCCGAAAAATTTCTACAAACCCATGTCAAGCCAAGTGGAAACAACACCGATCTTTATGTTCCCTTCGTGTTTGACTCCATGTGGACGATTGCTCTCACATTAAACAAGTCTATGAGTGAAATCCGCAAAACCTTGAACAGATCTCTAGAAGATTTTACCTACCAAGACAGTGGCATGGCGCAAATTTTCAAGCAAACGTTGAAAAACCTGGAATTCCAAGGGATTACGGTAGTGACATGCTAACAATTTTCTCACCGTAACCCTCACCTACCGCGGGCTCTCTTCCCTCGCTTTGAGTTAAAAATGAATGCTCCGTGCTTTTGGCTGAGCTGGAGGCAAGACATATATTTATTCTAGATATCAGCTTCCAATCATAGAAAAATGATTAATCGTCAACCTGAATTTTCGCGGCAGCTCAACTAAAAGGAGGTTATCTGTCAGTCCACTGATCAAGAATCAAATTAAATATTTTACCTTTGGGTTTTATGATATTTATAACGATAAGCAAATTTTCAAGCATTAACGTTTAAAATTGTTTATTTCGTAGGGAAAAGTGACGTTTTCAAGTAAAGGGGAAGGAACGAAGCCCTCATACATAAAACAAATGCAAAGTAAGTTGATTGATTCGATTTCATATTTTAGACACGAGTGGCCGATTTTGGAGTTTGAACCCTAATGGTCGATCTGAGATTTGGACAGTAGCGGCGTTTTTTTGATTTTGGACATTAGTGGCCGATCTTGGAATTTAGGCCTCTGTGGCCGATTTAAGAGTTTGAATACGAATGACCCATCAAAGATTTTGGACACTAGTGGCCAATTTTGGCTTTTCGACACTAGTGGTTGATTTGAGATTTTGGACACTAGTGATCGATTTGAGATTTTGAACATAAATTGCCGATTTAAAATTTGGATACTGGTGGCTGATTTTGGACCCTAGTAGCCGAATTGAGATTTTGGATACTAGTGGCCAATTTTGGCTTTTCGACACTAGTGGTTGATTTGAGATTTTGGACACTAGTGATCGATTTGAGATTTTGAACATAAATTGCCGATTTAAAATTTGGATACTGGTGGCTGATTTTGGACCCTAGTAGCCGAATTGAGATTTTGGATACTAGTGGCCAATTTTGGCTTTTCGACACTAGTGGTTGATTTGAGATTTTGGACACTAGTGATCGATTTGAGATTTTGAACATAAATTGCCGATTTAAAATTTGGATACTGGTGGCTGATTTTGGACCCTAGTAGCCGAATTGAGATTTTGGATACTAGTGGCCAATTTTGGCTTTTCGACACTAGTGGTTGATTTGAGATTTTGGACACTAGTGATCGATTTGAGATTTTGAACATAAATTGCCGATTTAAAATTTGGATACTGGTGGCTGATTTTGGACCCTAGTAGCCGAATTGAGATTTTGGATACTAGTGGCCAATTTTGGCTTTTCGACACTAGTGGTTGATTTGAGATTTTGGACACTAGTGATCGATTTGAGATTTTGAACATAAATTGCCGATTTAAAATTTGGATACTGGTGGCTGATTTTGGACCCTAGTAGCCGAATTGAGATTTTGGATACTAGTGGCCGATTTTGGATTTTGGACACAATTGGCCGCTTTCTGATTTTGGACACTAGTAACCGTTTTTGGATTTTCGACATCAGTGACCGATTTGCGACTTTGGACATTACTGCCCGGATTGAGATTTTGGATATTAGTGCGGCCCGATTTAAGAGTTTTGACCCTTCTTGCCCGCGATTCGAGATTTTGAATCCTTGTGATCGTTTTGAAATTTTTGACACTTGTGGCGGATTTGAGATTTTTGGACACTTTTGTGGAGTTTGGATTTGTGTTTGCCGACTTTGGATTTTAGACACTTGTGGCTGAGTTAAGATTTTGGACGCTAATGGCCGATTTTGGATTTCGGACACTGGTGGCCGATTTAAGATTTTGGACAACAGTGGCCGATTTTTTTTGGCATATTTTCTTTTTTTCTAATATATGTTGTTTGTACTTAATATAAATTTTTGAGTATCTCGAAAGCTTTGAGTTTGTAATGGATTCAAAAAAAGAGGCGTGACATCACCACTGTGTTTATATACTCTCATAGAAACTGGCTGATCGACCAATGAGAGCGCGGTTAACATATCACTTATTTTATAAAATTTCGTATTTCAACAAAACCTTTGTACTGACAAAATGTAAACTAATACGAGCACCTTCTGATTATAAATCTGCGTTTTGTTCCAATTTACGGACGAGATCTTTACCTCGTGCTAAATCGAATTAATTATTGACGTCGCTTCTCGTAAACTTTCATTTCTTTGCTTTCAAACAGACGGAATTTCGAAGATATTGGGCACATACCACCCTGATACCGATAAAATTGTGTTGGATGGTGCTCAAGTGTTATGGAAAGGTATGTTTAGGTAACATCATTCATATGAGTAAGTAAACAAACCTTTGCTCTTTAAGAACTGGAGCCAATTAAAAGCCGACTCGTTAAGGCAGCATGTGTACTGTTCGATACCTGGCTTCTTTTCTTGAGACAATGATATGTGCGATTTTGGTGTCAATATCCTTCAAAGTTCCGAAAATATCTTACGACTTCCGAACATAGACGAATATTGCCGAAGATTTTTCGATAAATTATGAAGGTTAATATGATTTTCGTAATGAAAAATTAAATGAAGACTGGGGCTTTTCTTAGAAAAATGAAACGAACGTAAAACAAAAAGATTTTCCACTACTTCCAAATTCCAGCCATGTCCATTCTTTTTTCCTCAGCCTCATGTAATCGCACACTTGTAAAACAGGTTTTGAGGAAAGGAGATATTTCTGTCGTGCAAAAATAACCCCCATATTCCGTGACAGTATTCCTCTACTTCTCGTCTTTGAACGTTAAGGTGGCGCTCCTCCAACTGATGGCAAAGTTACCATTTATGAGATACAGCACGTTTCTACGCCACTGTTTTGTGTCATCGTTATTTTGACCAGCGGAGGCATTTTATTGGCGGCGTACTTCCTGCGATTCAATTTTGTTCGACGAATGCAACGGTAAGTTAGGGAAGCTACATAATATATGATTCGTGAATGGATGTTTTGTGTATGTCCGATAATGAAGACATTGAATGGTAATATTCCTGCTCCGCTTCACGCCATATGTGACATATTTTTTACTAAGTTAGGTTTTCGTTTTTTCCTTCAGCCATATCAAGTTATCAAGTCCAAACCTTAACAACGTGATAATCTTAGGATGTGTATTGATCTACATATCTGTTTATATGATCGCCATCGATGGTAAATTGGTGGACACCAGCACACTAACGGGCCTGTGCAGGGTAAGTTTATCCGAGCAAATATTCTCCTATACACAAGTCTAAAGAGTTTTATCTATATCAGCTAGGGGCTCAGTATAGTAGTATACATAGCCTCTTTCCGTCTAGCCAATAGTATCAATTGGTACTAGGAATCTGATGTAGAAACTTTAAGCCAACCTCGGAGGATATGAATACTTTCGGTTGCTTTGAGCTAAGGAAACCAGGATGACCTCAAGGTGTAGTAAGTCATAAGTCTTGTCGGAATTTAGTGCAAAGTTCATGTTGATGCAATCACCTTACCAGCTAAGGAATTTCCTTGTCATTTCAGGCTCGAGGTTTTCTCTTGTCCGTTGGTTATAGTCTAGCGGTTGGTGCAATGTTCTCAAAGCTGTGGCGAGTGTATCAGATTTACAGCAACTTTAGACCTAAAGAAAAGGTAAATTTCGACAATCTTTTCACAATACCAAAACTCTGACCAAAGAAAATAACGTGACCAATCACAAAAAATGTACGTAACGCAATGGACCAATTACAATTTAGAGAAACTGCATGTGACCGTCGTAAAGGGCGGGAAAACGTACGTACCCAAGACGAGATTGCGTTTGCATTTACCTCTGATTGGTTTAATGGGGCTTAAGATAGTGAAAAATAGCTAAAAAATTAAAGTAAGAAAAAAAGATTTGGCTTTGGGATTCAGCTCAAAATTACTGTGTTATACAAGTCTTTCCTGTATTTACCACAAGCAGCAATGTCATCTTAAAAGAACCGTGCGCTAGGAGTGCATAAGCGGCAAACATTGCCAGGGAGGATCGTCTCATGAAAATTGAACTCTTGCTCTGGACGTGGCTATAAGACCTTTGTCCATAATGTTCACAATCTTTGCTTCCTCAGACACTCAAGTATAAGGAACTTATTGGTTTCATGGTAGTTCTGGTACTGATTGACATAGTTGTAATGTCTCTGTGGATTGGAGTGGATACACCTGAGATTGTTACAACTGACATACAGTCGCAGGTTAGTCAGTCGGGTTAAAGCGATCAAAGTACAATTTCTATTTGATGTTTCATGGCACAGTCACGTGAAAGGGTCGTGGGAATATAGATCAAGAACTTCCGACTTTCAGCCAATTGCCGACCATTCTCGATCGACTATTGATCGACTTTTTAAAGTATATTCGCCACATGCCACAACCTTCAAAAATATATTAACATACCTGTTTCTTTTCAGATTAAGGAAGAACCTCATTTTAGAATTATACCACAGGAGCAATACTGTACTTCCAGATACTTCACCACTTGGTTATACATTCTGCTCGGCTACAAAGCTCTCTTATTGGTGATTGGATGCTTAATCGCATGGGTCACACGTGAGGCAAAAGTCCGCCTGCTCAATGACTCGCGTTACGTGTGCATGAGTGTGTATAATATAATACCTTGCGCTCTGGTGGGTATACCGCTGGCCTTCCTGATTGATGGTCACATTAACGCGCTTGTGGCGTGTGTCTCGTTTTTTCTGCTCCTTCCTACAACAGTGACACTTTGTTTGCTTTTTGTACCGAAGGTGAGCAAGAAACGAGTTTTTCGCAGATAGTCTCAGAATAATTTCTGTTATTTGCGTGCTTTTTGTTTCTTCACTCTTCTTTAAAATTTTCATTCGTACGACGCACTCGCCGAAAAGGAAAGATTGCTTGTGGTCTAAGGGGAACTTATTTTCCGCAAGCTTTTCTTTTGATGAGTAAGACCTACCAACGACAAAAACAGACACGATGACATAACAAACGTTATAACTTATCAGTCGAAATATTGATAAATGACAAATCTAAAACATAAAGGGCCTCCTAGAGGGGGTTGGGATATTTAACAATTTTTTGGCGTATAGGAATCCTTTTTCTGGTAATAATGGCTGAATTCTGATTGTTTTGTGACTACCTACTCAGGACGTCTCCTGCCTACAAAGGTCAACGAGTGAAAAGGTTAAGAAAGTTTCTCAACACTTTTATATAAAACGTTTTTGTTCCTGTCGTAGATTTTGAAGCTCAAAAAGAATGCGGAGGAGCAATTTCGGATATCTGCTCTACAATGTCCTACACGAAACGTAATGGAAGTAAATTACGATTCGCTTGATTCATCTCATTCCGTCAATGATCCCAGTGCGGATTCAAAACTTCAGGAAGAGATAGCCACGCTCAAGAAAGAAATACGTGCAATTAAACTTAAACACGGAGAAAATGCAATTCCAAACCTGTCGGTTAGAATCGCCGACCCCGTTGAAAATGGTCGGGAGGGGAAATCTTTCGCTCAACTGCCTGTAAGACTGCTGACTAGACCACAACTTAACAAGCGGGCAGTTACGTGTCATACCACTCAAGAATTGTGCGTTCGAAAGAGGCGTAAACGTCGGTCATCCTCGTTTTCCGGACCGTATTTGCAACGGGGATCACTCGACATTGGGTCGTTCTTTGCCGAGCTCGCTGATCCGCTATTGGTGCTGAAAGCGGAGAACCGAGAACTGAACAGAAAGCTGCAAGAGGCGAGAATTTCCGAGGCGGGAAAGCTGGCTAAAGTGTGGCATGAGAATGCGCAGCTTCACCGCAAGATTGTGGAGCTCAACCTCAAGAGTGCTCCGAGCGAAGAGGCTGAAAAAGTGTCACGCCTTCTTAAGGAGAACGCGGAGTTGAAGAAGCAGTTGGGAGAAGTCAGTATTTTGAATTCAGTTTGGTGTGATGTAACGCCTCAAATACAGAGAAAACAGAACGAAGATAGAAAAATTTCGAAAGATTTAAGAGAGGTAAGAGATATTGATGAATGGAAATTATTTCTGAAAGTAACAGATACTGTGGCTGACGTTCCATCTTTTAAGATGTAAAGCTGCTCCGCCCATCCAAAACCTTTTATTTATCAATCTATTCATTTATTTATATTTAGCTTGATTGCTCGTTTTTAAGTTAGTTTTAGGGCCTAGGAGGATCCCGCTCAAGAAAATACAGAGTCGGCGGAGTATTTTCTGAACATGGGGGGGCTCCTGGTGCAAAAATATCTTCACATTCCCCCACTTGAATTCTTCCGAATTCCCTAAAGTGTAAGCAAACCTATTTACCTACTGAACAGCTACAAGCTCGATTGCTACACCGCATAAATAAGCAGTTATTGAGAAAAAAATGTCTAAAATCAGCCCCCTCAACCAATCAGATGTAAAACTGAAGCCAACTGCGACCTGAAGGTTACTCACGTTCTCCTCCTTTTCAGACAGCCTCCTTGTTTCTGTGCCCTCATTGGCCGTAATAATAACCATGCTTTTAGTTTATTGAATAAACAACCAAATAGCGCGCTAACTTCAGCGAGCGAAAATAGTATAAATATGGTATTGGCTTCGGAATATCGACCCTCTGTCTTAGTGTGCAAATAATTCAAGCCGGAATAATAATTTCAACCTGAGAATTTTGTTTTTCTCGTCAACAGCTTCAGCAGCTTCTTAGTGTGGACCTCGGTGGTCGCAGACCGGGATCTTTCCGTCCATCTTCTGTCTCAAGACCACCTCCCATTGGCCGCTCCCAGTCCTCGTCCGAGTTGCACTGCAACTGGAACGGAACCCCATGTGGTGACAAGAAAAGACCCATTAGCCCTCTTGCAATAACCGCCGTGAAACGATTTAGCTTTGAGGGCATCGACAAAAGACAAGATTTCTGTGCAAGCACTGAAAATCCAAGAGCTGGAACAACGACGGCGGAGGCTGAAGCAGTTAAATCTTTAACGATTGTATCGGAATCTCCTCAAGCTGTGATAAGCGAAACCAGAAGCACGGGAAAAGCTCCCTCTATTATTCGTAGAGATAACATAGATGGTTGCGAGTCGAAGAAAGAAATTTCTGGCATCGGCGAAAGAACCAATGTGGGATTTAGCAGTGATGAGGATGAAGATATAATTCATTTGAAGTCGGTAAATAAAATGGATGAAAATTTTGAAAAACCTTGCATTTTCAATCACGAGAAAGAAGATGTTGTGATGAGCAGCCAAAATGCAATTCCGAAGATCGTGCGTCAGGATCGGCTCTTTTCGTCAGAACCAAAAGACCAAAGCATTTCCGATCCAAAGTCGAATTCTTATCGTGAAACATCTGACGAAAGTGTTCAAAACCTTTTTGGTGTAGAGACTTCTAGAGTGGTACTCGATGAAAATGACAATTTGCAAAGTACTGTAATACTACAAAACCCATTAGTGGCTAATGATTTCGATACAAATCAAGAATTTCACGAGGAATTAAGGAACTTTTCAGGTCAGACTGAAGAAAAAGTGGAATTGTCAGACTCAAAGACACTTGATTCCCCAGTACATGAGGCAAATCCTACGCGAACACAGAAAGCTTCATGTGACCGAAGTGCAAAGGACTTTCCGGCTTACATGAGGAAAGTGCAAAGAAAGAAGGAGAAAAAGAAAAATGACAAAATAGAAAAAATATTCTTTGTATAATCAATTCTGACAAACAAACTCGTCAATCATCAAAGTATTTGTTTAACCAATCAGTGTGATATAAAAGCGTCAAGGGAAAAAGAAAAAACACGGAGTCTTATCTGAAATATAAAGATGCAAAAAAAATCCCTCCTGTCATCCATCATCACTCTGTCCCTCCCCTAAAAATTATGTGATCCCCCGCCAAATGATAAAAAATGGCTGGCTCCTTATTCAACAATTAGTTGCCCCTGAGATTAGGTAGAGGCTGCCTAAATGCACCAAGCACAGTCTGTTAGAAGAAGACGCATTAAGAGTTCGAATCTTATGACATAAAACTACGACCTTCTGACATGTTAAATATCATCACGATCTGGGGCAAAGACAGAGTTTAGTCTTTGTTTTTGTTTCTGTATAAATTGTGTTTCTAACTGATGGAGATGACGTTATATCTCGCACTATACTTTAACTGAGGTAGTTAAAATTTAAAAAAAATCAAGAAAATAGGAAATTTAATCTTGGAAGGAAGATACTTTTGTTCTGCAAAGAAAAAATTATGTTGTTGGTGACTACTGTTAGGATCACCTTGAAAGGGAAAGAAAAAAAGGCTAAAAAAATTTCATATGACCTCTTTATTACTGTTACAAATAGTCAAAACAAGTTTTGCTGGGTAAGGACTAAAGAAAAAGCGAGAATATTAAATTATTTTCAACGAGATGATACCAGTTTTTGTACTCATCGTGAAGGGAATCACTTGAAAAGAAAGGAACACTTTATATAACAGCTGACCAACTTAACTGTCGACATTTACCAGGATTAACTAAATCTCAAAGTAAAAACATACAAACTGCTCTAAGAGGGTAGCAAAAGGGTTCATGCGTGACACGTGATTAGACCCAAAACTAATGCGAGAAGGACCTAAACGATTCCTTTCGAACGCCATTGCTTTCACATGTGGTTAAAAAGCCTTCACATATTTATCGCTGGCACCGAATCATCGTAACTCCTAAACATGTGTTACAGTTGGGGGTGAAAGTTGCGTCGGACAATTTTTTAATTGATTTTAAAATTTTTTTAATTAATTTTTTTTAATTTTTAGATAAATTTTTTAGCTTTTTTAATTAATTTTTTTTCAAATTTTTTAAAATAATCTTCTTTAATCAACTTTTACATTTTATTTATTTTAAATTTTTAAATTTTTTTGAAATTAGTTTTTTATTAATTTTTTAACTATTTTTAAAATTAATTTTTAAATCAATTTTTTTATCAATTTTTTTAATTAATTTTTTAACTAATTTTTTTAATAATTTTTTCAATGATCTTTTTAATTATTTTTTCGTAATTTTTTAAATTATTTTTTTCAACAGTTTTTTAAATTATTTTTTTCAGTAATTATTTTAGTTAGATTGTACTGTGTGTTACAGGAAAACTGTAGCAATCGCTAACCTATGTAAGTAATTGTTTTTGGTGGGCCACGGTTCTAGCTAAAACCGTAATATTTTTCTCACCTTGCCCACGAAAAATATTCAATTTTTCACAACTTCGCCTCTTCCTGTTCGTATATCCGGCTAAGCCTTAATGGTCGCTGACCGCCCTATTGGTTTTCAGTGTCACGCCATTCAAAATAGATCAAAATAAAAAATAAAAACCGTTCAATCGATTTAGTCTAGAATCTGGAAATAGAAAGAAGCTAGATATGTAAAGACTCTCGCCAAGATTCAGGTCACAGCAATTTTTCTTACGGAAGATATGAGGAGAAACGTTTTTCCCAAATTTATAGAGATTTGTATGGAGCCGCCATGCTGGTGCCCACCTAGATGGGCACCAACATGGCGGCCGGAAACCAGCAGAAACATCTGTCACTGAGTTTTGCTACAAAAGCGTGAATTTATCTCTCTAAGAACTCATAAACGTAACAATAATAATTTATTCTAATACAAGAACTATTCAGATAGCTGAATTTCCCTAAATAAGTCACCTTTTAAACCAACATAACAGCTCTCTCGCTCGTCATGTAAAGGCCACGTCACGCAAAAGCTTAGAAATTCAAGAGTAGTCTATCACTAAACCAAGAACCCATTTGGAGTGAAAATTTGTCTGAATATTAGTTTTTAGCTGCTCTAATACATCATGAAAGTAAAATCTCAGGAGGATCAATAGTTCTGAAGTCTGAAATTTAGTGACGTCACGTGAAAACCAGCAATAGCCGCAAGCTATGGCTTATAAATACAGGCGTTTAGTTTTCACTGATGAAACTCACTGAAGAAGTCTACCACAGTTAGACGAAACACGTCGGAGAATAAAAAAGTTTTACAACTACTGTACGCAGAGTCCTGCTCACTGGTTCAGTTTTAAAAAAAATTATTCAGGAGAGTTGGGGATCAACACACGTGGTGCTATGCGCCAGATGTTCTCGTTGAATATTTGTGCTTCGATTCTGACCGGAAAAATCAACGATAACGTTTTTTGATGTTGTAAAAACTAAATTATTTCATGTTTGGATTGTCAGTCTTTCATTACCTAGCTGCAAGTTTACACGTATCTCAACAAAATAACGTGGAGCACTGGGACCAATGTTGATTCTGAACTACGATATGTCAGCGGGTTATCATTATTCATATTTTGGTCATGTGAACCTAGCTTTGAAAATTTCTAATTTCATGTGTCTTTCCGCGCGAAAGATGAGCAAGAAAAAGTACGATAGCTTTCAGTTGTGCGAATTATGTGCCAGACAGGTATATTCTCGTCAATTAGCTGATCACAGGGCGGTATGTGGAGCAGATTAGTCCAGCGAAGATCATAAGTGCGCGTTCATACAAGATGGCGTCCTGCATGCTCTCGTTGTGGAGACGAACAACAAAATGTTTTCAGGTTCGTCAGATAGATGTGATCAAAAGTAAACAGCGATTTTGTTTCAAAGTTTAACCCAGGTGTTTGCTCTGAATTAATCTCAGAGTTGTGTAAGTTCTGAGTTGGAACGACCGTGGGTCTAAGGAGGAAATGGGGGTAATGGGTTTTTTCTAATTGAGAGGGGGTATTCTGACCAATATCCCCCCCAACGGGAAATGGTTTTGGTCCTGGACAGGGTTTCTTTTCAGACTAGAGATAATTGAATGGGGTTAGAATGTTGTTAGTGCAGACTTCTGATATGCTGTGTTAGCCAACTTTTTAAATCTTACTATAAATATTCTTCGATTCTTTCAATATATTTATGAGTCCATTGTAAAACATCTCATGCGTAGGAAGACAGAGCTAATAAGGCCTGATCAGTCACTGATCAGTCATCGCCAGTCCCAGTTATTCTTAAACCTCAATGAAAGGATTTTTACCTATGGACAGACTTCCCGAAGTTATTATTGGTTACTTACAAGAGGTTTAAGTTCAATTTCTCAGAAAGACTTAAGAGATAAATGTTGGAAAATAGGCTCATACTTTTCTTGTAACCTATCAAAGAGGGAACATATCCAGATTAATTTCTAATTAAAATAAAATCATTGTATTTTACATTAGCAGATTATCTGTTGGGCATGGCCTTCATCAGGAGTCTCCCCAGAGTGTACGTGGATAACTTTCATTTTCCATCATTGTTGAAATGGCTTAATTTATCATGAGCATAAAAATATTACTGACAATTAGTAGTAATTACTGGTACTGATATTACTGGTCATTACTGATTAATTGTGTTCTCAAGCCAGGTGTGGCGTTATCACAACTTCCTCTGCAGAATCTGTAGGCAATTTGTAAAATTTTTGTTCTTCATTATGAAGAAAAGTATGCAATTTTATCCAACAAGGCCTTCTTTATATAGTTTCCCTTTTCAGTTTTCAGGGGGTGAATTTATCAGCATTAAAGCACTGAAAAGGCTTTGGTTACGTGCTACAAGGGTAGAACTTGAGTTGTGGAAAGACGAGAAAGAAACGCTCCAATTTTCCCATCAACATTTCGCTACATGCATCTCTCTAAACGTGAAATATCCCATTTCTATAAAAAAAACTCGAACGTTACTCACATTTTTAGCTTCCTTGATCAATCTTGTGTAACGAGCTATAAAATGTAGGTTCATTTGCTCAAGTGACCGCCTAGAGCCAGAATTGCGTGACAAGTGCAGTTAAGAGAAACTTGTCACAGTCGCAGACTTCAAAAGGCATACAAGACAAAAATAACGCAGTGCCCAAAGATTTTTTTGATGTTTTTTTAGAGATGAAATAGTGAATTATAAAGGGGAATTAAAATTAGTGTTGTAGCTGTCTGGCAAGGGGAGATATTTGACCTCAATCAGTCGCCCCTGAGATTAGGCAGAGGCTGCCTAAATGCACTAAGAAAGCATATAAAGAGTTCGAATCTTATGACACAAAGCTTCGACCTTCTAACCTGCCAAATAATATATAGATTTAGCCAAGCCATTTTTTTTCCCGCACGTCTCAAGGGCACAACGCCTTGCCCCGGCCAGGACTAGAACCCGGGTCGTCCGACTCGGAGCCCAGTGCACTGACCACTGGACTACTGAACAAAGCAGTGGCGTCGGCGTGCCCGCGGTACACTTGACCACGCGTGTTAAAAGTAGCACCTTGTACGGTCGTACGGTCGTACATCCAAATTTTTTCGGCTTGATGCGTTACTACTATTTTGTATAATTATGGGGCTCCCTTTTGATGCTTGAAATACTGTTAATGTTGAAAATACACGTACCGCATCCTCCCAAAAGTGCAAAGAGCGCAAAACAGAGGCTCGATTGGTTTAAGTTGATGCAACTTTTCTAGACTAGTCGAAGAGAGTAATGAAGGAGCAGTGAAGAATTACCTTTGATAACTAGTTGAAAATCACTTGAACATGGTGCATGTACACTAGTTTTTATTTAGGAGTGAGGAACTTTTTTATTTTGTCACGTGCATGTTTTTACTTTTTTCCTACTTTCCCATTAACTCCCAAAAACCCTGAATATGTTCATAAGTGTAATTCCCATTGTTGAGAATAAGGAAAAACAGACGCTTGCGTAAGACTTTGGTACAAAACATTGTACGGCAGAAAAGCAACAATAAGAAAGTAAATAGTAACGAGTAAAGATAGGGATTCACCATGCAAACTTCGTAGCCTTAACACGGCCATAGGAATCAGGGGAGAGCATGCCTCTTATAAGAGATTGGGGACCGATTGTTAGAAATGGCGGATCGATTTGGGAGTAGTTGTGTGGAGACGACGGCTTAATTCTTCCCTTGGAATCACGGGATTATTGAGTTCACTACAGCGCCAGTAATTCTTTTTTTCTGTTTCGTAACGTTAGCAAAAAGAACTGTTTCTCTTTTGTCGATCTGGGGATCCACCAGACAAAACAAGTTAGCGTTGTAAAATGTATGTAAGTGGAGCCACAATAA